ACCTGTTGTTGAGAATCCCATTTTCAGGATCTCCAAAAGATCCAGGCGCAGCGTGCTGCGGCCGAGCCTGGAAAGCGGTAGCAATTGGATTCATTCAGAGCTGGGGATGTGATTCGCCTATGGCCAAGGACTTCACCATGTCAGTTTCCATTCAAACCCGCTGTGCCCTGCTCAAGTCTGCAACACCGAGTGACAACCGGTTTAGCTATTCATCATCCCACGGGTTATGGTGGGGCAAGAATGGGATGAAGAATGCTACATTATGAAGACGCACCACCCAACGTCCCGCTGCATTGCATTCCCCATGAACACCATATAGCTGATATTGATTAGCAATACTTGGTGTTACTCCACCCACCCAACTTGATACCAAGAACCGCCATGGGCCATAAGCCTTGAAATGCAAATGGTAATGGTCAAGGTTGACGAGAAGTCAATGATTTACCACTGCTTCAGTATCCAAAGCAAAAACCAATTTTACCCACAATCTTAGGAAATCTCATAATTATACAATGCTAACTCTGGAGTACTGAACGTTGCCCCCCCCCGAAGGTCAAGAAGGCCAACAAAGTCATTCCGGGGGGTTGCACAACATCCCCTGGGTTAGAAATCTGCATTCATTGATGAAGTGTCGATGTCGCTGGAAGCAGGTGCAAGCACCAGTGAGGAATCATTTGCGTTGAAATTAGCTTCACTGCCGCACCCAAAGGAGAATAAAGAGGAAATGCAAAGGAAAAAACTTGCATAACAGCATCAACTGGGTGAGCGAAGTTTCAGAAAGAAGCATCAGGATGACCAAATTCAGACAGGGGATGACATAGAATGAGATCAAATAGACACCGAAAATTATCTTTTACGCCGCCATTGAGCGGAAAACAAAAACTCATTGACTGCGGTGTTGTCCCAACATGGGACAAACGTGTCTTTACTGACAAGCCCCGATGGGCCCCAATTAACATTGTTCAACCCAGGCTTGTCCTATCCAACTTCAAACAGTGGCTTTACCCTCCCGAGCTCGTCCTTGAAGTAGTCAATGTACGCACCTCTGGCCATCCTGCTGGATCCCCATTATGATTTGGTCATGGGTCTTGGATATACGGGAATGGACATGAGCATGTTGCTGCCCCACCCCACTAAGTACAGGGGGTCTTGTCCTCGCCATCATCCTCGCATTCATATTTTCGGCATTTCTCAACCCAAAACCAGGCCTTGACAAGAAAGTTAAGACGAGAAATTGTACAGCTTGAGCCAAAGCGACTGCAACCATTTGAGAAAGGATTCAAACAACTCCATGAAGGGTTTCCAACACCAATGCCACCAGACGTCCTTGATTTCAGGTCCCTAGTGCGACGCAAAAAGAATTCAGAGGGTCTCATTGTGCCACTTTCAATTCAGGTTTCACAGTTGAATGTCCGGATCTCCCATCTCCCATCTCTCGTCTTTCGCTTTGCATCACCTTGTGCCTTCTTTCGGCCAGGCTTGTAGGTTCCTGAGCTTCGCACAATCTTGGAAATCGATGTAATATGCGGGGTCATGTTCATCGCAAGCAAAGGCATGCAAACGTACCAAAATCTATGTTGAATGGGCTCAAGACTAAACAAGTCGGGCAGTAGAGAGCCAAAAAATGAAATTCAAATCCAAAACCCCAAACGCAAATGCCCTGACTTGCACCTGACTGCCTTTGTTGTTGCTCTGGCCTGTCAAAGACCAATGCCATGCAGAGAAGGTTACATCTCACCCCCAACTTAAAATGTCATTGTTTTGCTCCAAAGGGCGCCTTATGCAGCACAGTGCTGACTAACTTGAAAATGTAGTTGCCAGCGGCCCTGCAAGGTTTTCCGGGATCTGTCCCAAAACCAGGTGGTTAGGAATCACAGATTCCATACGGGGGCCTCTGCGCGAGCCTGTCTTTGCATTGCCAACTAGGAGAGCCTCAGCTTTCAAAGCTGCCAAGGCTGTCACGCCATCGACCAATTCATCTCCAAAATGCCTTCATGTCAATTCCTGATACCTGCCTTCTGCTCATTTCCCATGCCGTCAGCCTGATTCATCTTGAATTCATCCTGTTCATTACCACCCAATTTCCCTTAGGCCGCCAAAGGCGTTGGGCTTTTCGGAGGCCACGCCATGTGAAAATTCTTTGGGCTGATCCTCTCCTGTCGTGACGATGACGGCTTTTCTTCGGACTTTTGGACGGGCGGGTTTCGAGGCAGTCGGGACGATGGAATTTGATGGGAAATGGTGATGATGGGGCATCATGTGGAAATAAATGAAAATGAAAATAAATGAATCATCAAGAATCATTGTCGTCGTCCTCCTCCTCCTCATCATCATCTCCACCAACACTTTGGCACCCCCTTCACCAAGTCTCAAACCTCTGCCGTCTCATCCACCACCAGCCGCCCATCCGCTGTAAAGCGCCGGCCGTTGCGACGCATTGACTCTGAACCAATCTCAAAGCTGCTTTGGTGCGCACGAAAAGCACCATCGGCGGCACATGTTGCGGGCACTCCGAAAACTGTACGCTGCGGCTGCCACAGCTTTGGCACAGCTGAAGAGTGAACCAAAACAAATGGAATTTGAACACGAGGATTCAATTCGAATCGGATGGGAGGTGTAAAGACTGTGGGAAAAGGCTGCTGTACCAATTGTACGTTTATGGAATATGTGAGTCATTTTCATGCTGCATATCAGACAGAACCTGTGAAATATATGTATTATGCATCATGGGAAAAGGAAATCACGGGCAGCAAAATTCATGACAGTTGATAGACATCAGAGACAAATGTTATGCCAATTCCAGGAAAACTTGGGCGAACAGAACTTGACAAGAATGGGCTAAATATATCCCTCAATCTCTCTCAACAAGAACTTTCGAGAAAAAAATCAACAAAAAGGATCAAAAAGGAGTCCCAACAACCCTGCCAACAAGGTGGCTTTGGACCAAGTAGCCCCATCCAGACTCGTGTTTTAAGATCGCCTTGTGCAAGATGAAATGATCAAAACCATCGCTGTTCCGCGCCTCAACATGGACAATGAACTCAGGTGCAAACGGATTGTTTTTGGTGGAGGTCTTAGATCCTGTGCCCAATAGCCACCATCTCCAAGGGCATGGCCCACCATGGCTGACGCGAACTTCCCGATGCTCAAAGGAAAGGAAGAACCTGGCAGGTTCACAGGCCACCACGCGACCATTACGACCCAGGACACCCACGACTACCACGACAAGACGAACCAATCCAGTGAAGACTCTCCATTTGGAGAGAAACTCAGATCTCAAGGAAATTGAATTATTGAAATATTAGTTTTCATTTGATGATTCCAAAGTTAAAAGTAGCAAAAGCACCGGAAAGGCTGTGGGTTTTCGCTGATTTGCGGCCTGGTGCTGTATGGTGTCGATTGTCGGTGTCGATTGTCGGTGTCGATTGTCGGTGTCGATCGTGTCGAGGTGTCCCGTCAGCTCCAAGGTCTGGCGACCTGATCCGCATTGCCGTGGTGAGATGTCATGGCCATGGCCGCGTGGCGAGGCTTTGCTTCCTTCATCTCTATTTGCAGATCTTCAATGATCTTCAATCTTACGGGAACCCAACCAATGAAAATCAATGAAAAACAATGGCACCACAAGCACACCATTTGGATCCATTTGGGTCATTTCAGAACTGGTGGAAACATGGATGAAACACCAGGACCTCAGAGTCGATGGCTTCACATCCTCCCAGCTATACATCTTTGTTTCTTAGTTGTACCAACTTGGACACCTTGTGTGTGAACAAATGTCTGCATACGTATGCCAACGCCCCCTTTCTCCGCGCCTGCGTGTTCCCCTCAGCGAAGGAAGGCTGCCACCAACTGGCTTCGAAATCCCATGGTCAGCACTTGAAGTTGTTCACATGGTGGCCCAAGGTGGGCATGATGTTTGAGAACCACCATCATCACCAGGATCACCAGGATACCCTGCCCTACCTGTAATAGCTACGTGCTGCCGGAGCGACAAGAATTACATTGGAAGAGTACTGCATCCTGTGCCCAAAGCATTCGGGCAATGAGACAACTCTTCGGGCTGCACAAGCTCCACTTCACCCGAGCTTTAGCCAAGAAGCGCTGAAGGGTCGGGCAATCAAAGTCAAAAGGACCATTATCAAGCCGCATCTTTGTGACGTGGCGGGATTGGACTGGGTGGGCCAATGAGAAATGGGTTGAAACACTGAAGTTGCAGGAACCGATTGCAGAAGAACTTTGTGCAAAATTCAAGGAGAATGAACCTCCAGGTTGTATATATGCGGCGTGCGCTGAATACATATCCTTCAATCTTGGCACCCTTGGCACGTAGCACCCCTTGAAAGATGCAGAAACCAAGGCCAATCCCACCACTGGCGCTGTGAGGTGCCTCGCGGGTCGTCACCTATGCTAAGTCGGCCTGGGCGGGCACTTGGAGGAGCCAGATTGCATTGGCCCAGTGGTGTTGTGAATCAATTTACTGAAGACAACATTTATTTGAACATGGGATAAGCTTGAATAACCTGACCATAGGTTTGGTAAGTTTTGATTTTGCTTTTGGGGGCAATCCCTGCGTACACCCAAACACAATTTGCTGTAACTTTCCTTGCCGCTTGTCCCAACCTAAATGCAACAATCACCTATGGCCTCTGGCCAGTATAACTTAATATGAGTATGGAATGCTTGGATTTGCTTAACCAATTCCAATCACCTCAAGGACCAACAGCACCATTGCAGAAGGGGCTCCGAGATTGAAACACATTGAACCCCTGCACCGCTGGAGTACCAGAATGCAACTGGAAATATCGTCTTGAGGGTGGCTTACTGCTGCGGCTTACGTCTACGTCAGTCTGAACCGGTTATTCACACAAATTACCAGAAGACCGGCGCTGGCTCCGAACTGTTTTCTCCCCCTGCACGTTGAGGTGAGAAGTGCTCGTTCGAACATGTGCCGCCTGGAATTTGGCTGAAAGCACGACTTGTCACCAGAACTCCGATGGTCACTACAAATAACGTTTCTCAAATGCGGCGCGCAATACAAAGGAACATTCCCGCAAACTTGGCCGATCAGAAATCAAGCAACTGCACATGCGGGACATCAGCCGCTCCAGCCCACCATGAAAAGCAGGATTTTGTTGGGCAATGTGTGCTGCCTGCACCGGGTCCAATCTGAACATCTCGGAAAAAACGATCCCAAGGCTAAAGATATCCCATGCCGAGGTGACTACAGAATCTGGCGGGCAGTACTGCTGACAAGTCATGGGCGGCACGTCGCTCTCCACAGAAACGGAGCCAAAATCAATAATGAACACATTGCCTTGATCATCCAGCATGAAATTGTTGGGTTTGATGTCGCAGTGAACCAAACCCAAGTGTGCCAGGTGCTCCACACTCTCGAGTCGAGCATTCCAATGCCTAGCTGCAAGCACGTCTCAAATTCCCAGCCGGACCTGGCCAAAAATTCTGCCACGTTCTCGGGAAGCCGTGCCGAGATCAACCTCGGGGCACCCCCCTCTGTTACGGCAAAGCCCATGCAGGGCGATGCTGGCACTAACAAGCCCACATAGACCTCCTTAAACAGCTCTTCATCATTATCATCCCGATGCATTTCTTTGGAAGCCACTTGGTGTTCGCTGACGTAGCCAGCACGGACAACACCACCAAAACCAGATGCCAAAACTTCGGTCTCCGTCACGGTGCCAAGAAACGCACGGTCAAAACTCTCATTCCAAGGAACTGGGCGAGCCATGAACCTGTTAACTTGGCGAGTCCGCATCCAGGCCGGTCGCGCATGACAAGGTTGGAGCCATGGTGGGGCTGTGCACATCCTGCCACCGCTGGTGAGCTCCTCCAAGCCAACCGCATGTTCGCCAGATCCCAGCATTCCCAGCTCTAAGTCCTCAGTGCCGCTGATTTCACCTTGCACCGTTTCCGAATCAAGCCTTTGTGGGGTGAAGCGACTCGATGCAAGCAGTACACAAAACAACGACATGGTGAGGAAACCGAGAGATAGAAGAAGCATGGTTGCCTTGATGAACTTGTCCATTGCAGGGTCAATGGGTTCGCCACTTTGCAAGGCAGTAGTGACCTGTTTTGAAAACATGCCAACCTTGACAAGACGTTGGCCAAAAAATTGGGTAGTAAAGAAAACATTGGAAACAAATTAATGGCCCACAAGTTTTGCAGGACCATTTTCCACCTGCACTTTGACAGGATATCAGGCCAGTCGCGAGGACCATCCGGAAAGCAGCGAGCACGCTGCAAAAAACTTCAGCTTCATGGCGCGACAGGAACAAATCAATTCGTATGATACTGTGCAAAATGATACATTGGACACTAGATTTTCTTTTGAAATCACATAATTCGCTTAATCCAATCTGTGAAACATGGGAACGCAATCCAACACGGATGCCTTAAGACAAACATGCGACAAGGCTAAGGCTGCCAGCTCCTTCTCAAAATCTACCTTACAACATGGCATGGCAGTATCACGTTGCTCTGCTCAACCAAAGCTGTGCTGCGGCCAGGAATACTGCCCAAAAAAGTGGCAAACTATCACAGCAAGTGATGCAGCAAGTAAAAACAAATTACGATGGACCTGTGCAGGCAATAACGGGTGTTTCTGATGTTTCCGTAAATTGCCAATGCCGAAGCCTGTCAGCTATATCATCCTGGTTCTCGGGTCCCGGCTTGAGATCACAATGCCACATTGTCGTCTAGCCTGGCGTTCGCGGTGCGCATTTGACATGTCTGTTGGCCCCTCAAAACATTAAAAACATTTGATTATTTTGATCATAGATCATGTAATTAACAAAGTCGAAAGAGTCAAATACCCTCCTCATTCCCAGCCTGTGCTACGCTCATCCTCTGCTGTGTTATTGCGCTCGGGCAGGAAGGACCGCCACGCGAGCTTCAAAGTCACTCACACTGGAAAGTCGCACTGGCATGACACCTGTAAGATCCTGTATAGCCGTTTTGACTTGACAAAGGCTTTTTTGGAAATCACCCGGGTCTGATGTGTGAAAATTTTCCTGCTGCCCCATGTTGTCCCCATACGTTTTGAGCCCATTAACATAACGAAGATAAAACTTAGAGCCATATAACCTTAACACCTAAAAGCTGTAACGATTAGATACTACGTTAAATACCTCACTTAACAACTACTAACAACGAGACTAACAATAATAACAATTTTAGTCGTAAATCCCATTCGCAAAATATATCCATAAAACATTTTTTTTTGTGCGAAATCTAGGGTCTAAAATATATATTTTTCTAAATTAAATCTATTTTTTATATTTCCTAAGATAGGGTATATCCCACCTCAAATATAAAATCTAAATTTTATATATATATATATTTATCCTAAATCGAAAAATATAATTTATTAATTTCAATATAACATCAACCAATTAAAAATTAAATTCAAAATATAAATAACAATTATTGTAAATACAATAAAATCATAATTATTAAAATTATAAATAAATATATTTATTTTATTTATTAGTATTATTTTTCAATTATAATATATTATTTTTAAATAAACATTTATATTATTTTTTTTTTAATAAATATTAAAAATATTTCCTTAATATTTTATATTTTACACAATCACCACACCTAAATAAATATATTATATTTAAATATTTATTTCCAAAATATAAATTTATTAAAATATTTCATTCATATTATCTTAATATATTAATTACTAATTCAAAATAATAATAATATAATATTTAAATAATAAATTTATAATAAATATATTAATTTATAATATATATATATTTATTTATTATTCCATAATATATGTATATATACATATATTCGAATAATAAACTAAATATTATTTAATATTTATTTATTAAACAAAATAAAAACAATCAAACCAAAATAATAAAAAAATATATATAATATATATTTTGTTTTATAATATCTAAAATTATTACTACACATGAAAATTTAAACCCCAAATTAAATTCAAATAAACCAAATATAATTCCTTATACTATATTTTATATTTTTTATATATTATTCGTTTTTTAATTTATAATTATTTATTATTCATATGCAATTATTAATGACAATATTATTGTTGGTGGTGGTGGTGGTGTTGGTGCTGTTGTTGATGTTATTATTTTTAGTGTTGGTGTTATTATTATTGTTATTCTATTCATAGGTATTGTAGTGTGGTTAAGACTTCAAAAGTGGTCCGAACGTATTGCAATTTTCGTATTTTGATTTCGAAATGTTTCGTGCGTTTTTTGAATATTTCAACGTCCAAAAGCGGCGTGAACATGAATATTCTTACTATTTTCACTTCGACATGTGTTTCCCGCCACAAGCTTTTCAAATTTTAATTTCGAAATGTGCCTCGCGCCACAAAACCGTGCACTTTCTCAACATCTCAATTTCCAAACGTGCTCCGAAGATCTCCGAAGTATTCCTACCATTTTGGCTCGGAAAGGTGCTTCGCGCCACGGCTGTGGGCTTCGTGCCACAACGGAGTGCAATTTTTCATTTCTCATCTGGCCAAATGGCTCCGCACCCGCTGCTTTAGCGAGCCTACTTTTCGAGCCTCCGGAACGTCAAAACATTGGGAAAAACACGCAGTTGCACGACTTTTTTACTTTTTCACGCACCTTGACCTTGTTTCTATCTGACTCTTTCTGTTCTCTGACTCTTCCCACCTCTGCTTTATTGCTTTTCCATCTGTCCATATTGTTGACAGTTTGACTTCTAAACTTCTTTCGATTCAACATAATTATATTAAAATAACGGTTTTTCCCCACATATTTTGAATTTGAAAAGAATGCCATGACACCTGCGGATCTTTGTATTGGGACAGATTGAAATGTTGGGGTCCTGCGGGTGTCCAAAAATGGTGCTTATCACCCCAAAACCATCAATTTCAACGGGAATAATCATTATCACCATGGGCTTTTGGGTGGGGTTCTCCCCTGGGTGGGGTTCTCCTAAAAAAAACAATTGAAGAGCTTGCATGCTTGCTTTGTGAAGCGTAAGACAGAATGGGACTTTGTAAGACAAGAATAGTCACCATGCCCGACCGCCACCATCTGCTGCAAGGGAATCTTATGTATATCTATACATGTAAAAATATGATCAGAAATTAATTTGTCATAATTTGTCTACATGTAGACTTGGAGTGACGTTTCCAATAAGTGGCTCCCATCCTCTTGAATCAAAACTTCCACTCATTATACATGTTCCGGCACGTATAATTACTTTGAATCTTTGCAAACATATCTACATATACATACATATTAGATTATATATATATACATAGAGATATGTGTACGCATTTACATATTCCTCTCGGTGGTTTGTGGTTCCCCTGCTAGAAATCTAACGTTTACAGAAAACCCGGAGCCCGGCGCCATGACCTCCACCCACCAGCTCGGGTCTTTGCCGAAAGGGCTCGTCCAGGTGTCCGTAAGCGGCCTGGTTAAACTGCACCGTTGCAGCGGAACTGCGTCACCGTTGCAGCCAACAAAAATTGCATTTGAAACCATCTTGAAATGGACATCAGACAAATCAGTGGGCACATGATTAGACATTTATTGGAAATCATTGGATCAATCAATGGAAATCATATGTGAAATCGTTGGAATCAAAGAAATGGCAGCTGAAACATCATCGTACACGTCACACCAATTAGACCTCCCAAACTGTGGGTTCTAACTTTACAACTTTCCAATACATCAGTTGGTATGACTCCCTGTACAAAGTCATGAACCTTGAAACATTGGAAACCATTTAAAATCATTGGAAATCATTGTGACAATTTGGGACATACCAATATTTTGCCTAAACTGTTGGATTGTTGATGTGTTTCGCCTATATCGTTTCGAGATATCTCTTAATAGTTTTTGCAGTGGGAAAATTAAGACACAAGTATCCGGTGTTGGATTTACAAGGATTTATCGTGTCCATCGGTATCCGGTAGATTCACTGGTCAGTCATCGTATATAGGCTTGGAACCTGAAAATCTGGTATGTATCCCAATTTCAGACCGTTTGAATCAGATGATCAGTCATTTAAAATCTTAACCATTGGAAACTTGTTTTGGGACAAACCAATCTATTCCCCATTCAACGGTAATTTTTGAATTGAACTAATTATCCAGTCACAAAATGATCACCTTCAAGAAGACGAAAAGAAATGCTGTTGAGATACTCATGGGCTTGCAACCCACTTTAGCCAAAGGGGATGCGCCCCCAACTTTATTGCCCGTCAGTAGCTGGACTCTTGACTATATCCCCAAACACACCAAGGCATAGTTCATGGCTTACAATCCACTTACCAACCAGTGAAAGGCTTACCGCAATATTTACCCTGCTGGTTGAATCAGTTTTAATTGGTAAAGTCGCCGGTTGACAATCCAACTTAGCCCATCAAAGAAATATATACATGCATGATGTATGTGTATATATATATATATAAGTATGTATGTATGTATGTAGGTAGGTAGGTAGGTAGGTATGTACGTATGCGTATGTAAGTGTATGTATGTGTATATATGTGTATGTATGTGTATGTATGTAAATGTATGTGTATATATGTGTATGTATGTGTATGTATATGTAAATGTATGTGCATGTATGGGTATGTACGTGTACCTATTGCGTATGTGTATGTATGTGTATGCATGTGTATGCATGTGTATGTAAGTCTATGTATGTATATGTATGTATATGCATGTCTATGCATGTATATGCATGTATATGCATGTGTATGCATGTGTATGCATGTCTATGTATGCATTTGCATGTCTATGAATGTATATGCATGTATATGCATGTATATGCATGTATATGTATGTATATGTATGTATATGTATGTATATGTATGTATATGTATGTATATGTATGTATGTGTATGCATGTATGTATGTGTATGCATATATGCATGTGTATGCATGTATGTATGTGTATGCATGTATGTATGTGTATGCATGCATGTATGCGTATGCCTGTATGTATGTGTATGCATGTATGCATGTATGCATGTATGCATGTATGCATGTATGCATGTATGCATGTATGCATGTATGCAAATATGTATGTATGTATGTTTGTATGTATGCATGTATGTATGCATGTATGTATGTATGTATGTGTATATGTATGTATGTATGTATGTACGTACGTACGTACGTACGTACGTATGTATGTATGTGTATATGTATGTATGTGTATATGTATGTATGTGTATATGTATGTATGTGTATATGTATGTATGTGTGTATGTATGTGTGTACGTGTGTATGTATGTAGGTAGGTAGGTAGGTATGTAAGTATGTATGTATGTATGTCTGTCTGTCTGTCTGTCTGTCTGTATGTGTATATGTATGTATGTATGTGTGTATGTATGTGTGTGTATGTTTGTATTTATGTATGTATGCATGTATGTATGTATGTGTGTATGTGTGTATGTATGTATGTGTGTATGTGTGTATGTATGTATGTATGTATGCATGCATGTATGTATGTATGTATGTGTGTATGTATGTGTGTATGTGTGTGCATGTATCATATAATACCGTATAATACCATCCTTCCATGACCAAAAACAGTAAAATTTCCTTCAACGATGCAGTGCAGGCCGAACATGAGGACAAACTGCTGGAACACGCTCTTCACTCCGATGGCGCAACTGAGGCAAAGCATATTCTTCTCCGTAGCTCAGCAGAATTTCTGGGCCACGGGAGATCTGCGGTACATGGACGCGGCCCGTGCGCTCCTGACCTCCCCCCACAGGGAACTACTTCCCCCTGATCCGACGAATAAGAGTTGTGGCCTTCCCTTTTGGTCCAAAAAGTTGGGCACAGCAATCACAAGAGGTTACATTGCAATGGTTTGTGTCGCAGCGTGTGCTGTCCCCGCAAACGGCTTCTGTCAATGGTTGAACATTGTATGAGCCTTTACCCAGCAAAACCCAGGATGCGAGCTGCCGATCACCAGCAAACGCATGCAGAGGCCATGCCCTGGACCCGTCCTGAAACCAATCTTCGTCGCTGAAGAAAAACGCACCCAGTCGGCGAAGCTCGCCTGGCGCGCGGTGCAGGACATCTCAAAATCGCGCAGCTTTATTGGGACCTCGACAAGTTTTTTCTTATGTGTATGTGGCGGCTGAATATCCTACCTTTTTCTTTGGACAAGCCCTGTTGAACAAACCTAGATTGCCGAATGTTCAAACATCTAGGAGAGTGACATGTAATATTCTTGAGACGCCTGGGCATTTCATGAAATGGAGAGGTTATGCTTCTCTGGATGTAAGTTCAATTGGTCTCTCCAATACTTGGGTTGTCATGTCACCAGACGGGCCCATCGTTGTACTGGGTCACCTGGAACACAAAACAGGTTCGCCAAAATGCTGACACATCCAGCTGTTAATCAACAGTTCACCAAGGTTATTCCCAGTCTTCCATGGTTTTACTATCTATTTTGGCTAGTGAATATGCCTTTGACTGACCGGTGGTTTCAAGCGAAAAATCTTGATCCAGATCATTATTCCAGATATGGTTGCTGAACACAAGAAATGCCAGGGCGTACGCTTGTAGGGCCCCATGTCGTGGATCGCTACGAACGCCACCTGAAGGCTGTAGGTGCTCCAGAATTCGTTGGCAAAGTTAGCTATCTTTACCAGGAAAACAGTGATGGGATTTCGTGAGATTCAAAAGGATCTAATGGGTTGTTTCTTGAGGATTTTTGGCTGGCTGAGTTGGTTGAAATAACACCTAGGCTTTATGGCGATTATAACTATAATGAATAGCTTTATAAACCAACTTCTGACCAACCTTCTATGGCTGGGTGTGAGGATATGAACAGGATGGAAGTGATAAAATGGGGAAGATAACCCTAAAGCACCCTAAAGATAGATAACCAATAAATTCGGCAATGTACTACTGTAGCTAGCCACTGAAAAAAAGTGGCAACCAAGCAGAAGGTCCAAATGAAAGCTTGAAGAAAGTCGCACAAGTCCTGTGCATTTGTTGTAGTATATACACGTATGCTGATATTTGGGTCTTGGCAGCCTTGACCGTAAACTGGCAGGGTAACTCCGTATGCTCGTTGCATCCCACTGAGAACATGTCTTCCTTACCCAATTGCTTCCAACCCAAAAAATGATGACCAAACATCTTTTTCTACTTGTATGAAGCAAATTGAGTATAATCCACCTAGCAACTTGGTTTTTTAGTGGGAATGTTGAATCTCCCCAACACATCCCCAAGATTTTATTGACGATCAGCCACGCTGATTTTTTCTCCATCCTATCCTCAACACCCCAGCATGGCAACACGCCCAACACGTTGCCTGCGGCAGTTCGCAAAGGCTCAAGGCCAGACGTATGGCCAGTTCTCCCTTTGGGCCATCGATAAACACAGCCTCAGCCCGACCGAATCAAAACGGTGGGTCGGAATTCCAGCGGGACTGGGACTCTGCCATTAAAACATGTCAACATTTACCCTCTGGTTCTTTAACATAGCCATGGAAAATTGCCCATTTATAGATGGTTTACCTATTAAAAATGGTGATGTTCCATGGCTATGTTAAATACTGTAACCAGAGGGTATATGATAAATTGGATTTCATAAGTTCAAAAACCATCAGTTCCTACATCACCCAAATCTTAAAACTAATTACTTCACCTAAATCCTAAATGCAATCCATGGTCATGGCCATATTCCAACTGCAGTCATCTTCCAAACGTAACCAACCAACTTGGAGTTTGACTTGGGATGTGAGCATCTTCTCTGGCGGCTCCTTGGTGCTGGCATCACAAAACAAGGCCCCGCACTGCTCGAGCTGACTGGCGAAGCAACTGGGGCCTCGGTCCCAAGCCAATTTGAACCCCTCTGGATCATCCTTTTGCAGATGATTTCTCATGATATCTCTGCTGCAATCCCTTGAAGCCCCTTGAAGCCATACCAGGGCAAAGGTCGAGTTATTGGGCCAGGGTTGAGAATGACTTGATGCATAGCATGGTAGATTGAAGATGCCCTGCCAAAAAGATTAACTTTTAATGGGGCGAGATGTGTTGTTTACTCACCGAATCCCAAGAGAAAGATTGAGTCTACTTATATAGATGCAATGCATCCAGAACAAGTCATGGCCATGGCGCAAAAAAACAACAAACAACTGGTTGAATCATGAATTTGTATACCTTCTGAAAGCGAATAACTTTGTACCCGCTAATTCTGGGGGTGGAACCAGTGCAGGCAAACCAGCAAATATACCGGATGCAACTGGCGTGGGGATTTATTTCAGCCAAGAACGGCCTGAGGGCACGAGGGCATTTCCATGCATTTCCCATGACCATTGGTGGAACAAGCTTTATCGGACTTGGAATCCTGTCCTTCATGGCCGCCAACACAAGAGACAGGCAACAACTGCCAGAGATTCACACCCAACATGGCTTCACATGCAGTCTGCTTCCAAGGCTTCCGACGTCATCCAGGAAGACATACAAGTATCTTTCTCGGCCCAAAAAATCGTTGGATTTGGCCATTTCTTGGATTAAAACATGGGAACCTGTAGATTGACACAAGGCCAACAGGTAACTCATCTTTCCAGCATTGCCTAGCAAATCTTCATTGTTGGGGATTTTGCTCCTGAAAGGTGGGGGTTTAAGATATTTGGAAATGATCCTCCCATGCAAAAAATGGGGCTTCCCCATTGCCAAGTGTTTTTTCCCAAGTCGCAGCAGAGTTCGGCCGTCGCCTGTGTCTGCAGGATGGCTGGTCCAGGAATCAATGGATTAACCGAGGAAAAGATACATCGAAAATGCAGATTTGATCATCAAATATGTGGGATCTAATCATGTTTCTGGCTTTTCAATGGATTTATTGAAGGGAAAAACATGAGGGTTTTTTCCAAGTATCAAATACAGGGGTTTGGTGTAAGTGTTCCCTGAAACCCAGTCAGAGAATGAAGACATCACGCATGGGGTGATGGTCCCAACAAAAACCCAGTTGTGATGAACGACATCGAACAGCTCTGTTCTGGTAATTCATGGGGTATGTTTTTTCAACAACCGTGGCAACCGCAAATCCACCATCTACAGATGAGACAACTATAGAACGTCTTTTTTTGGGGGGCATTGTCATGCTACATTGTCAGAGGGTACCCATGTGTGTTGTTCTCAAAATGGGGGATGCCGAAATTTGTGGCCAACTAGAGATGGGGTTCCCCAAGGAATTTCTTGATTTCAGATCCTACAAAATGCCATCCCTTACTGGTTGCTCCATGGGGATTGCCATGATGGGTCAGCTCATAATCATCAATAAACATCAATAAATTAGGTAGATTCCTATCATCCCCAATCATCCACCAAATGTTTCTGGTCTCAATCCCTAAATGATAGTCCAATCCCCATCAGCACACGAACAGAAAAAACCTGGGGTCACCTTGAGAACCAAGGTGATGTACGGGGGCCTGTGTACAGTTTGACGTTGGGATGTCTTTCAGCCACTTGCTCTGCCTGCCAAACTCGAACGATGGACTTTTGCATGAATCTGCACATTTTTCATTTGGCGATATGATATAACATGATATAACATGATATGACCAATGAACTGATGGTTTGATGGTTTCGTTCATGTTCGTGAAAAATCCTATTGTAAAACCCAAGTGACTCAGGCAAAATTTGGCTTTTGGACGACACCAACAACCAAAAGACGGGACACCTATGGGCGGAGGATCGCATGTGTAGCTGTGTAGCTCGATCGTGCTTCGAAATTCATTTTTCACTGTAATTTAGATAATTCCATTATGCTTCTTACATACTTTTTGTCGGTGTCTTAAACCTATGTTTTTCAAGACCATTGCTTCACCATTAATTAAAAATTTTCATGGTAATTTACCCGATGGTGATTTCGCAACACATCGCCATTTCTATCTGAGCCACTCTGGGCCTCCTGAGTCAGGGAGATATCCACAGCTGCAACCTCCTGAGGCATGTGGAGTTCATATTCCCGTGATTGATGACTGATGTGTGCTGATAAAGTAATATGAATTATGACATGTATAGTGGACGGTTGAAGAATATGAATTGGGTTTACAACATGGTACTGACCTTTGATGAAGGGATACTCCTACCATGCATCGCTGAGGCGTAGCTGCCAACCTGCTTACCAATCACATCACCCACATTGCAATCAAGAGATGTATTTATCTACCTGCCACCCTTATCTCTCAATCTATCAATGGTCATTTCAGGAACCTAAATTGGAGGTACCTACCATATATAAGGCCTATTTTTCAGGCCCAAATTTCAGGGAATATCCCCCCAAAATATAGCCATATATGATACGTTTACGTACCTCCATTTTAGGATCCAGAAAATACCATTGAATCTACCAAGCAACAAAACATCTATCCATCTACCTATCCAGGTATTCTCCATCTACACAGATCTGAAGTCCCCTCCTTGGCGAAGAGGCTCCACATCTCAGTGGAAGCCTGAGCCAGGCGAATTGGGTATGGATTTAACATGATCTAACCTTAAGAAACATGTAATTTTATGGGATCTAAATGATCTAAAAACGAATTTATGATAGCTGAGTTGGTGAATGTCACAATGATATCACTGTTGGACTTATGATAAGGGTTTTAGGTAATGGGGGTCAAGAACTTCTCGTGGAGGCATCAATGGCTCAGTCCAGGATCGAGCAACTTGTTTGGATCTAACATGAGGTTTCTGACTCCTCAAAATTACCATCTGGTTATTTAACATAGCCATGGAAAATCACCATTTTTGCTGACTGGCCTCCCTGAGGTGTCATCTTCGGAAGAAGGAGCACCAAGGCTGCAAAGAGATTGATTACTCATCGACTCATCCTCATTTGGTATCCTCCGTTCTTTGCCTAAATTATTTTGATTTCGTTCCAAACAAAACCTTCAACAAAACATATGTTCCAAGATTGATTAAAATTTGATCACTGTTTCTTGTTGGTCTTAGTTCCACTGCTGGAGGCTTTAGCAACGTTGGGAAGTCTTGGCTTCACATGGCATTCTCGAATTTGCTATTTTGTACCCTCATGGACAGTATGGAACAGCTAGTGATGGTAAGCGGTTGATAACCCATGGATAATTGGGGACATCCTATGACTGGGTGATAGTATAGCTGGCGGGACGCACATCCATGTACGACCTCTGGGAGTCTCATCCTACCTATTTGGTGAAGGATTTTCTATGGCGAACGTTATGGACGCCGCTTATCTTACGGATGAAGCAATATATCCGTTCTCTGGGAGTGGAAGTGAGGTCTGAATATGATATACCCTCTGGTAAACTAACACAGCTATTGAAAATGACCATTTATAGTGGATTTTCCCATTAAAATGGTGATTTTCCACTGCTATGTTAGTTTACCAGAGTGTATACATTTATAGTATAATATCCGATTCATTGGTGTAGTCTTGACTTGGGAGATCGGTTGAGGGAGTGAGGGCCCCCGGCCTAAACCCAGAATAAACATCCTCCAGTGCACCATTTGTCAGCTGGCAAACTATATGAAGAGTGATCAGGTGTAGGAATCCCCAAATAGATGGAAAAGTAAATCCCTACTAATTTGATAGTGATTTACTGTTCCATCTATTTGGGGATGAGACTATATAGTTGTATGCGTAAAAAGATGACATTTCGTGCGAGGATTCTCCCATCACCGCCATGTTTGAATGGGACTTCCCAGCCCATCGATTACCGTTGTAGGTATCTTACCTCTGGTAATTTGTTACATAGCTATAGAAATTGTGATACCATAGAAAAAATGATACCATAGAAATTGTGATACCATAAAAATGGCCCATAGAAATAGTTGATTTACCTTTCAAAAAAAATGGTGATTTTCCAGTTCGCAAACTGTAAACGTTTAACAGAGGCTAGTTCTATCCCCATGCCGAATACTCGTATCCCGTCATATCCCCTATGGTAGACCCATGGACCATCCATGTGAGATCACATCATCCATAGGGATATACCCAATTTCAAAGATCTCTATTGGAAACGGTGGATCATAGTTATTCTATGTTATTCTCCTCCAAAATTGTCCGTTCTCATCTCACTATCATCCCATGATTTTCGAATATCGAATATCCCACAGAATCATATCTGGTTGGTGGTATATACCTACCCCTCTGAAAAAAATGAAAGTCAGTTGTGATGATTATTCCCAATATGATGGGAAACATAATCCAAATGTTCCAAGCCACCACCCAGATATGATTATAATCCCATGAATCACTGGTTTCTCACAGTCGACTTGTTTGAATCCCCCGGTTTCGGGATTTTTGGGCCAAGAGGCTCCCTTGTACACCCCCGATTCGGCCACGAGATCCACCTGCGCCAATCAAATCCAAAATCTCATTGGTTATTGAACTTACCCTCTGGTTATTTAACAGTTCGCCTCTGGTTAATAGTGGTTAATAGTGGTTAATAGTGGTTAAATGTGGTTAATAGTGGTTAATAGTGGTTAATAGTGGTTAATAGTGGTTAATAGTGGTTAATAGTCGTTAAATGTGGTTAATAGTGGTTAATAGTGGTGAACAATGGTGAATAATGGTGAATAATGGTGAATAATGGTGAATAATGGTGAATAATGGTGAATAATGGTGAATAATGGTGAATAATGGTGAATAATGGTGAATAATGGTGAATAATGGTGAATAATGGTGAATAATGGTGAATAATAGTGAATAATGGTGAATAATGGTGAATATATTGTGAAAACCCTCTGGTTATCTAACAGTTCGCCATGGAACATCCACCAACTTTTTAAGTTCGGTAAACCATCAATCGATTAGGGCCATGGCTTAACCATGGCTATGTAAGAAATAACCAAAGGGTAAGTGGTTCTTGGTCAAAGAAAACTGGGTCAAATCTCTAGATTTCTCAATCCATTGGTCAGATTTCTGTTTAGTGGTCAAACAAAAACTGCTGGTTTAACCAACACAGAAATTGGGATTTGTCCAACAATAGAGATGGGATCCCAAAGTGGGGCTATACCCAATAATCAAGTATGACAATGGCAATGACAACTCTTTATGTTTTTTTCACTCATACTTGGAGAATTGGCTGAAAACAACTTGCCATGAGGCAACAACACGACCACTTGGCTGAAACATGACCACTCTTTCAACATGTAAATGGTGACCCAAGCATGGTCTACTCATTCGTAGCAAAGCTATGGACTTCAAATCGGCGTGACCTTGTTGATCCTCAAGTTCCTTGCGTCATTCACATTCTTGGATCTTCTCCAAAAAAACATGTTTTAGTTTCGTAGATGTGCTTAGTATAATGTGCTTAAAACAATAATAAACCATCCCCAAAATCACCATTTTTATGGGTGGTATAAGCCACGAAAAAGAGGTGGTTTATTATTGTTTTAACCACACCATGCCATTTGTAGACATCCAGCATACTACAGTAGCCAAGGTCTCGGATGTATACTGCCCCACCTGATGTAGGTGGCAGAAGGACGCGAAGGCAAAGGCCTGCTGTAGGAATGGCAAGTGGTTAATAGGCCCTACACGCCCTAGGTTACCCACTAAGTCATGTATATATATATATATACACATATTTCTATGTATATATATATACAAATACAAATGGCTGCGGTTTCCATGTGATTCTGGGAAAGGAGTCTAGATGCCAGCAATGCAAGTGGGGGTAAGCATCCCCATCTGAGCGGAGTGAATCTGAACGCAGGGCAGGAAAGATGCACGGAATAATGGCCATAGTTACATAGAGGATATGTAAACAAACATTGGGACATTAAATGACTTTATGATCCATGGTAATTTGACCAACAAAGTTCTGGGATGTTCTGGGTAAGCTTTGGACTCGCTATGTGCGGACTCAAGAAACAAAGCTGCAAAGATAAAATCAACCTTATTAAAAGGAGCATGTGTGATATAGTGGGATGTATAGGCAATAACTCAACAAAATAGGTGCTTGTGAATGTGTGATATTCCAATGTGTTGAGCGACATGATGATGATCCGTTCAACTCAGGGGTACCCTATTTTCGGTCATAGATTCTATCCAGGGCATGAAGCCACAACGCCCGCCTATTAAGTAACCAAGCAGTGGACAAAAACACCCATATTTCACAATAGGAAGCGAAAACACACCACTTTCCCTTTTATGGGTTCCTATTGATTTTCTGTTCTTTGCTGGTTGAAGCACCACTGTTTGAAAGGGCTCTCGCCAAGACGCCTCGGAAAAGAACACGCTGTTCTCGGTCATGGGTAGGTCATACACCTCAAATCTTTAGGTGGCGGAGTGGGCCAAGGAGTGATCTATTGGAATGGTAACCAGCAAACAAAACTAGAACCTGGTAGTTCAGTGTACCGCCCTGTGGCCTATTATACTTCACTAGAAGATACTTAATCTCCGAAATATGCCGCAAAGAAGTCCTCAAAAGGTAGCGCTGGTCTCTCCAAAAGACCGGAAACGCTCCCAACCACTTATTTTCTTAGGGACAACACAAATGACCAAGAATGGACACCCTACTTTGGCGAGCCATAAGACTAGCAAATGGATATGCAAATGGGTCATTATACAGGCTCCGGGCATTTCTTCACTTCGCGATTCCAATGGCAAATTCATTTCACGCATTTCATTCTTGAGATATGATCGGCCATAATCACGAAAAACGCGTCACTTAGCTGTTCTTGCCATCAACATCTTCTGTCCCAAGATAAGGTATCTAATCCCATGATTCCTCATGTATCTCTACGATGGTCGTGGTATCCCGTTGGAAGCACCATCATTGGGTGCTAACCATGAAATAACTTGTTCATTAAGTTCCATGATATCCCATAAGATAAAAAAATACAATTATATATGTAATACTGAACAATATTGCTGGTTGGTTGTAAATTTCCAATACCTAAACATCTGAATATTGTTGCTGGAATTCCATTAACATCATTTCTTCTAGGTTAAACACAATTTACCCTCTGGTAAACTAACATAGCTATTGAAAATCACCATTTTTAATGGGAAAATCCACTATAAATGGCCATTTTCCATAGCTATGTTAGTTTACCAGAGGGTATTCATTTGACCTGATGGGGTTTGTCTGAACATAGGCCCCATATTCCAATGAATGATGATCATGTCCCCCTTTTTTCGAATGGCTATGACTGTGGGTATCCCCCTCTTTTCAGACACACCCATAAATTACTGGTTGGTGGTTTCAACCCTCCTGAAAAATATGAGTTCGTCAGTTGGGATGATGACATTCCCAATATGATGGGGAAAAAATCCAAATATTCCAAACCACCAACCAGATTATCAAGAAAGTTGGCTATACATCCCATTAAGATCCATTAGGTCACATGACATCCCATTGTAAATCACCAATTTCGTTGGTGAAAATTCCATGACATCACCCATTTTTTCCATTGTTCGAATCCCATCGAATCAGCATTTTCCTTGGTTAAATCATAAATCCCATGAAATCCCATGAAATCTTCATTTTCAATTGCTGGACTCCCATGAAATCACCACTTTTCTGGGTTACCATCTGGTTATTTAACATAGCCATGGAAAGATCCACCCGTTTTTAAGTTCGGTAAACCATCTATTTCTATGGGCCATCTATACCATGGCTATGTTAAATAACCAGAGGGTAAATCCCATAAAATCAGCATTTTCCTCATATTTTCATGGGAGTCTCCCTGCCACTCTCGCTGTCCGGTCCTTTTTCCACCGCTCGGCTCACTCCGCCTTCAGCTCCGCAAGGCACGTGGCGGCTTTCACGCCGCTCCTTGGTGTCAATTTGAGCTGCAAAGATCTAAACACCTAACATACACTAACTGGAAACGGCCATCCATACAGATTGAGAAAGATGAATGACTGGAAGGGCCAGTTTTCCCTGTGTATCGCGAAATATTTCATCATGATACACTTGTTTTATGTAGATAGTTGGAATGGCTATCGCGAAGATATGGGATTAGATGAGAAAGACCTTACACATTTCATGGGTGGCAGAAGAATCCCCATGCCAAAGAGCTTTTGTCTTGCAAAGTCACGGGAAACCTCTCGGCAGAGGTGGCACACTGGGTATCAATCCCGGATTCATGGCCACTGTGTGCCCACAACAGTTTGGTGCAGATTTTCAAACGTCAATTTTCCCGCATGGTTTCATTTAAATCGGTCTATCTTCCACATCATGTTCTTGTTTCTTTTAATCTTCCTGAGTTATGTAGTCACAGTTTGTACTTGTTTCTCACACTCCCATCCTGGTGGCTTTCACATCATTCATCAACCCCTCATCCCTCAACTATCATATTCTCATCAGAACTATACTCCCATGGAACTGTATCAACATGTATCAACCATCATCAACTCATCCATCCCCTCCCCCTCCGTGGAGTCCGTGGAGCCTTTTCGGGGTCCGAGGATCAAAAACGCCCCTTCCACGCGGCCGTTGTAACACCAGTCCCCACAGAGACACAGACGCCGCCGCGGATCCACCACGCAGCCCTGGGGCAGCTGATAGTCACCGTCCCCGTAGAGCCAATGAATCGCCTGGCACCGGTGGAGAATGGGGCCAGCAACGACCATGCGATGAAATGTATCAAAAATGATGCTATGGGAAGGATTGTCCCATATATTATGGAAAATAAACATGTTACAAACCACCAATCAGCTATAGTATTGGGGATATAAGGATCTAACCAGGATTCCTTTTAAAGTCAAGACACAACTAACTGCTTTGGCTGCAAAACCATGAAGAGCACCTACAGCTGGAATCCTACAAGGTGAAACCCAGAGCTTTGGTTGGTAGGTGCCTCATTATGATAAACTTATACCCGGAGTGCCTCAGCTTGACTGAAACTCCCATTGAATCACCATTGAATGGTTGCTTAAATCCTATAAAACAAGGACATCGCAATTTGATGTTTTTTTTTCTGGCCATCGTTCCTTGGCTGCATGCGCCTTCAGATGGTCCACGTTGGCTGCAGCTTTTCCCACGATGCGCAGGAACTCTGCCAACAACGAGCGACACATCTGGCGTCGGAATGCCCCAGGTACATGGCTCCTATCCACTTACAAATTTGAACTGCACTTCTAAGTATAAGATATACCCTGAAAAGTATGAACTGTTTTGCTGGTAAATAGATCGCGCATTTTTGAGCAAATATCAAAACACTAAAATAACTAGCCATCCAAGACTGACCCAGGGGAATACCTCGCATGCATGGTGAGAAGCCAATGGGTTTGGGAGCGGGCCACCATGTTCAAATGATTTGATGACATCCTCAGTTTGGCTGATAGCAACTTTATTTATTATATCTAACATCTAATCATCAAACCCTCTGTTTGACTGGAACTGCCTAATCTTCAATGGGTGGCTGTCGAAAGGGCTCATCTCTGTAGATGGAACATAAGCTGATGGCGAAACCTGACTTCCTGATGGGTAGAAGATTACGAATCGACACTCTTGTGAAACAAGTCCGGGCAGGTTCCTGCAACAGCACCAAGATCAGCTCATTTAGTCCTCATTGTCGGTGGCTAACCGTTTGGAGCTATAGACACACAACGAAGGTATGGTTTCAGTAACATCTAACCAGCCATCTTTACATGGTTTAGAGTCGACCTGTCCTTCATGTATGGTATATTTGCAAAAACAGTTGCCAAGATGTATCCCTTTTCGGCAACCGAAATTCTGAAAAAAAGGACCGAGAAACCCATGGTTTAAACCTTTTCCAATCTTTCCCACAGGTTTTAAACCCCCCATTTCCAGTCGCCGCAGCCCCGGCGCCTCGTTTTCGGAGGTCTCTGCCTTCTTGCAGTCCGCAGCCCATTCCGTGGTGGTTTGCACCACCCAAACTTCCGGACCCTTGCGGCAGGGAGCTCATAATGTGTGGAGGATGTATCTGAAGATGTAAATGTGCCAAAGTCTCAATGGGAAGTTCAGGAATGGAGGTACCTTAGTATCATATTGTTGGCCGTATTTTGTGGGGATATTCCCTTACATAGGCTTTATATATATAGGCCTTATATGGTAGGTACCTCCAATTTAGGTTCCTGAAATGGCCAATATTGATAATCCAAAATAGATGTGCATGCGCATGTATACATACGGTACCAAATACCAGATGTAAGGGTTTGTGTCCATCTACATTTGGGTTTGTCTGAAGATTGGGTTGTCCCTACAGCCACTGGTGTATCAGTTCGTACCCAGCATGGCAATTCCCAAGTTTCAGTTTCACGCCGCAGAGATACCAGTGCACTTGGCGCCCTAAGCAGCCCCCTCAGCGCATCCACCAGCCTCGCCGTCTGGTCCAGAAGTTCGTGAGGTGTCGTTGAGCACTAAGGAGATGGGAGAATCTTTAACCTCGCGACTGCGCTTCAGGATACTTGACCGCTGCGACATTTCATGGTGAAAAAAACCATGGGATTTTAACCCTCAGAAGTTGGGACATAACCCCTATGACTACGGTTATACTGGTTAAAAATTGGAACAACACCCCAATATATACTCACGTAACTTGGATAATACATTACAGCAACACTGGTGACTTTTCACTACCATGGTACACTATTCGAAAGTAAGCCAAATCATGATAAATATCGAATTATATACAGGGACAACTAAAGGATGAGTATGGGATCATTTTGGGATAAGAATCATATGAGTGATTGCGAAAAGATTGAGGTGACTAGAACCATCGCCACACGGGTTGCTTTCTTTATGTCCCTATTTTGGATCATCTAATATTACATCTAAATGCTTAGTTTCTGCGGTTGATGTTTGCATTCAATCCAGTCCTGAGGGGTGTCTATCCACATCAAATTGTGCACACACATCCCCAAAAGAGACACTACCAAAGCCAACCCTTGTGGCAGTTCACATGAACATGCAGTGTTATGATCATTATGGGCAAACTCTTTCAGTTTACAAGCCATCAAACTCTGCAAAGTATCCGGGCCTCAGATGTGGATGGGCAAAAACGCCAGATGAAACCTTATGATGGAACCTTACATGGCTACAGATCAATACCTATAGATACCTTTTAGGGCAATGAACACCCATTTACCAGCTATTTTGATGTCCACCAGGGGTATAGGGTTTTGACCTATAAACCTATACCCATATCTCAATCACCGTCATCACCAAGCATCAAATGCCAGGCAGAACGGCAGCATCAGACTCTCTGGGAACGCAAAGGCGGCCGCCACACGGCCCTGGATTTGTCAGATGGTGGAGGAGAACACAGGTCACTGGCCATGACTCAGGAACCGATTGATTGGAGGTACCTACCATATATAAGGCCTATATAAGGCCTAAATTTCAGGGAATATCCCCACAAAATATGGCCAGAAATATGGTACAGTACCTCCATTTTAGGATCCTGGAATTCCCATTGAGCAGGGGATTTCTCGGTATGCAGCGGTATGCACCATACCTTGTGGCCATTGAAATGTTAAAAGAAACATTGGGGAAGCCATATTTAAAACATTTTAAAACACTGAACAATGGGCTGCTTTACATTGATTGACATGTTTGAAAAAGAAATCATGTTGATTGGGGTATCAATCAAAAGGGATCTGTACTGGTTGGATGTGCGCGTCAGACTGTTAAAGGATCCATTCAATGTCATTGATGATCAACACAATCACCTGCATATCACCTGAAACTAAACACCACTTCCATTTTGCTGTTCGGTCTTCTTCCGCATCTGAACCTTTTAGGTCATCAACCGCGTGTGTGTGTAAAAACAAAACATATCAACACAGACACTTGGGCGTGTCTGAAAGATGATGTATACCCCAGACACAAACAAGTAAAATACAAGTAAATATGAAAGGTGATGATGAACCATTGAATTTCGAGGTGTTTTATGTTCAGAGAAATCCAGATATAGACCACCAAGGCATTTGGGTTCTTCAAGTTCTACAATAACCATTTGGTTTCTTCAGTGAAAGACCATCTAAAACTGACTTTGTTTCACCAAGAAAAAATACAAAAAAAAACACCCAGCAGCGTCCGTGAAGGTCTCGCCTTTTCAAAGTCCTTGTCCAGCGTTTCTTTGGGCAGAAGTTCTTCCAAACTGCCAGGCGCCTGGCATTTAGACCCCAAAAGTGGCGTTTGGAAGCCACTAGAAAACTCATGTTGCTCGAAAGGGCAAAGGGCCAACTCAATGCTCTTGATGCTGAACCGAAATCTTTGCGGGAAGCCTTGGAAGCCTTTGCCTTGAGATTCCCCATAGCAACTGCTGGATATTTGCTATCTTGTTGGTGCTGGGTAAATTTTGGTGTGGCCAATTTGGGCTCATGCAAAAACGGAGAAAAACTGCGTCTATCCCACGTGCTCTGTCCGAGGAACCAGCAAGGCTCGGATTTGCGCCACGGGAAGCGCCAAGATCAATGAGCTGACCTCATCTTCACCTCGGCTTTGTCGCAATAATTACATAAATCAGATCTTAATGAGAATACCATGATGAACAATGGGATTTTGGGTTCCGTTTCTTAGGCATACACACAAATAGGTGGGACAATTTCCCCTGGAATAAGTTGACACTTGTGGACCTCCCAATGGCACGTCCTCCTACAGGATCTGTTCCAGCACTAAACCGCCCATGTTGGGTTCAGAACATTATTTTAAATGATATCTTACATCAAAAAAAGTTGGTGTAAGGAAAAATATCGGGGTCTTAGCCAACCATCAATATATATCTTACATTTTGGAATTCACACACTTGGGGTCTTGGAATCATCCATTTCAGAAAGCGAAAAAAACATCTGCGTTTTTGCTCAAGGGATTCACTAGTGCCACAGGGACCCTGTGACGATGCTTGCACACCTTTTTGATTAGAGGCGGCGACTGGAACAACTGTAACAACTGTCGCCCAAGAGGTAGCTAAGTCGGAATTTCAATCGTCAACCAGGGTCAAATGGTCGATAAAAAGTCATACAGCTAAAACACAAGATTTAGTTTGGGGTCGCCTCTTCGGACGCGGATGAACCTACCCTTTATCCAATCAAAGCTGTGAGACTACGAGGTGGCTATCGGGATGATAGCCACTTGGTGCTTCATCCCACTTAGTAAATGGGGTTTTCCATAAATGGGGGTACCCCCAAAATGGATGGTTTATATGGTTTATAATGGAAAATCCTATAAACATGGATGATTTAGGGGTACCCCCACCTCCAAATAGGTTATAACATGTTATAACCCCACTTGTAAGTGGATTCATTAACTCTACTTCTCATATCCCACTTATAACTGCAGTTAAAAGCCATTTTTAATGTGTGTCTGAAAAAAATCAATACCCCAAATTTTAGATGGTTTATCATCATTTTCCCTATAAAACATGTTACCCTCTGGTAATTTAACATAGCTATTGAAAATGGCCCTAATCGAAATAGTTGATTTACCTTTCAAAAAGATGGTGAATTTCCAGTTTGCTATGTAAACGTTTACCAGGCCGGGTATTTGGAGGGTATACACGACTCTTAGACGTATCCATTTACCAACTGGCATGAACCACCACACCGGAACCTGTCAGAACTCAGGTTACGGATCCGAGGTTCCGGCCGTTGATCAACCAGGAAGCCTCCAGCGGCCAGCAAGATTCGACATCTGCAAACCAGATTTTAGGGAATCTATGGAACATAAATCTATAGGCAATGGACATTATACTAGGAAAACTATGGTAATGGATCTATAATATACATCTAAATCTGATTGGTGGTTGAACCCTACCCCTCTGAAAAATCATGGAGTTCGTCAGTTGGGATGATGAAATTCCCAATATGATGGGAATAATAAAATTCATGTTCCAAACCCGCAACCAGCAGATTTTAGGCGGTATAGTATATGACTAGGAAACCAGGAAAGAAACCAGGATGTATATGGTTGACACTGGTTTATACTATAGATGGTTGACACTGCAACTATTCTCAAAGATTTTAGGCGGTATATGACTAGGAAAACTGTGGCTTATGGAAAGCATGAATCTATAGGTAATGGGGGTAATTTACCAACTAGTGACTGGGTGGGCACCACATTGTAGTCATCCCCAAACGGATAGAAAAATACCAGGCATCACTTTTTCAGGAGGGATTGACTTTTCTATGTTTTCTTGATGATGCATACATATGCATACCAAATCCAAATCATCTGAGTCCATGCAGTTTGCAATGTTTTAGGTCAACCAACACGGATTTCCCCATTCTTTGTCAACACTCTTTCAGAGTGTCCATAAGAATTGCATAGACCACGCTTGGCTCAGAAAGTAACAGCAGCGGCCCAGAACATGATCAAGGTTCCGGGTTCCCGACGACTAAAAAACAAAGAATCATCCATCTCAAACCTGGGAATAGTATACCAACTGGTGGGTATGCACAATATGGTACAATTTTGTACAATCCAATAATTCTGATGAACCCCTTCCCCCTATTAGGTGGCGCCCCCGAACGCTAGTTTCGTTGTTTTTAATGCCAGTGTATAACTCTTGATATATCAACCACACACACATTCCGAAGATGTTAGTCACAACCAACTTAGCTAGCCGGGGCCCAGCTATATCCACAAGCCATGGTGGTTTCTATACAAATTACATCAAATTACACGAATTATGCAATGGTTAACTCACCCCCATCCCGGAAAACAAGACAAACAACATCACCATACGAGGACAAGTTCCCCAGGGGCCTCTTTCCAGCAAACGGAGGACACCTCCTTGCCACAGAGGCGGGTCAAGCCCTTGGTGTCCTGTGGCAACGCAACCGTCGTGAAGGAAAGGTCCAGTTGGGCAGTTCGTATGGATTTGAGGGTGATCTAATGGAGATTTGGTGATTAAAGAAACCAACCAGATGTTTTATGTCTGAGAACAAACAAAGATACTGCTTGGTGGTTGAACCCTACCCCTCTGAAAAATCATGGAGTGAAAGTCAGTTGGGGTGATGACATTCCCAATATATGATGGGAAAGTAATAAAATTCCATGGTTCCAAACCACCAACCAGCAGATTTCATCAGTTCTTCTCAGGCCTGGTAGATAGGCGAATTTCATCGAATTCCTATCCCCTGGCCCCTGGATGCCCTTGGGATTCTGCGAGGGGTCGATCCATATGGCATCCTTGTCAGCTGCTGCAGTGAGATCAGTTACCCCAAAACCTGGGAATTTCGCCCCACAAAACCAGGGAGCTGTAACCAACCACTGGTGCGTTTTACGTAGGGTTGCTGGATGGCTGGGGGTTGCTGGGATGATTCTTACTAGTGATTACGGATCATTTTTGGCGTTCTAATTTCTAACTCAATAAATTGAAGTTCGGGTGAGGATAAATCTGCATACATCATCATACATCTAGACCCACACGCCGTCCACTTTGGACGGTGCTGGCACAACTTTACTTTGATGGGTCAACCGTTTGCTGACTGCATCCGGATATCCATGAATTTTGACTGTGCTCTATACTTTTCATTACTTTTCTGCATGTTTGGCAGTTGCAATATTTCAGATAGATCTTATACACATGGGTATGGGTCAAGTCATTAGGTACCCCAACAATTGGATGGTTAGTACTAAACTAGACTAATATCAATCTGTGGTCCCCTTAACGGTCTTCCATTTTGACCCACATCCTTCGAACCCAAGGGACTCTCATTTCAAGTCATTTCTACGGTGGGCTTTTCCGGATATCCAGTCACCTGGGTACCGCTTAAGCAAGTACAGAAGCGAGAGAGTGTCACATGTGTCAGGATATTTCAGAGTAAAATGGAGATTCAGTGAGTCAACTGGTGAACGGTAAGGCGGTTCAAGTCCGAGTGGCTACAAGGGGATACCTCCTCCTTGGACACCCTGCCAGGCCCTGCCTCCAGCAGCACAAAGCTGCCCATGTCGGGTCGCCCCACGTACCATGCGTCGCCACCTTTCAGCTCGGGCTTCGCGACAAAGGTGCCGGGCGATTCCTTGGCAGCGGGCCGAGCCGTCCAACATGGCGTTTCACTGGCGAATTTTGGCTGGTTCAAAGTAAGCCCTGATTTCCTAGTTTGGTTTTAATTCCTAATCAGGTTATTTTCCCCTGCTATCCCCATGTTTAGGCGATTTTTTCCCCACCTGCCAGGTGAGGGTTGTTAGATTTTATGTCAGTTGCCTCCTCCTGCCTCGTCCTCCTCCTCCTCCTCCTCTCCTCCTCGTCCTCCTCGTCCTCCTTGTCATCCTTGTCGTCCTCCTCGTCCAACTGCGACCCGCGATCCACAGTGTTCTCTGTCGGACCTCAACCACGACCATCCATGCTCAGTGTTCCCTGCCGGACCTCAACCACGACCATCCACGCCCAGTGTTCCCTGCCGGACCTCAACCACGACCATCCCCGCCCAGTGTTCCCTGCCGGACCTCAACCGCACGCCCACCACCTCCACATCCCTGCCGGACCTCAACCGCGAGTATCCCCGCCCAGTGTTCCCTGCCGGACCTCAACCACGACCATCCACGCCCAGTGTTCCCTGCCGGACCTCAACCGCGAGTATCCACGCCAAAAGATATGCCACATAGAGTGCCAGAAGATATGCCAGATAGAATGTTAGAAGATATGCCAGATAGAATGCCAGAAGGTATGCCAGATAGAATGCCAGATAGAATGTCAGCTAGAATGCCAGAAGATATGCCAGATAAAGTGCCAGAATGTTTGCCAGATAGAATGCCAGCAGATTTGCCAGATAATATGCCAGAAGATATGCTAGATAGAATGCCAGATGGAATGCCAGAAGATTTGCCAGATAATATGCCAGAAGATATGCCAGATAGAATGCCAGATGGAATGCCAGAAGATATGCCAGAACATATGCCAGAAGATATGCCAGAAGATATGCCAGAACATCTGCCAGAAGATATGCCAGAACATCTGCCAGAAGATATGCCAGGTAGAATGCCAGAAGATATGCCAGATAGAATGCCAGATCGAATGCCAGAAAATATGTCAGATAGAATGCCAGAAGATTTGCCAGTAACAAAATATATAAATGTCATGGTGGGGATCACACGAAGTAAAGTAATTTGGGGGTCCAAAAACCAGGTGGCTGGAAAATAGCAAACTTCCTTTTGCGGGGAATCGTGATATTTTTTTGGGGCACATATTTGGCCAATTTAATTCCATGTAACCAAGAAAAATCGGGAATAAGTAACTGCAAATTAGAGGGCTTTAAGCGAGCTGGAAGCAACAGCATGACAAGCTTGATAATTCAGCAAACATCAAGTTTCTGGTTTCAAACCAATCAAACTGGCGCCGTCATTGCCAACATAACGGAGAGTCATTATTGCCAACAAACCACGGTTGCGAAAGATATTGGGCAAACCACTGACACCCATCATTCAACAGCCGCTGATGTCAACAGCCCAGCGGTTTTCTTCGGCTCAAAGCATCCCAATCTCTACTGGTTCACTGACTGAAACTGGTTGGTGGTTGAGCCCTACCCCTCTGAAAAATATATGCGTGTTCGTCAGTTGGGATGATGACATTCCCAATATGATGGGAAAAAAATCCAAATGTTCCAAACCACCAACCAGGAAAAAAATTAATGAATGAGAGAAAATAACTGAACAGCATCAATGAATGCATGAATGAATGATTGGATTGGAATGGAATGAAATGCGTTGGGAGTATCTGTATCCTTCCAGTATAGGCAAACCTCCAGCCATTACTACTTGAGTCTAGGATCCCAGTGGGCACCATTGTCATCTCATGATGTCCTCAACTTCCATTAGATCAGCATCTTGTATTGAAACCACCCACATGTGTGGCTACGCGCGTGTTAGTGTTCCAGATGTCACAAGGCCACACCCAAGTCAAGCTGAAGTAATGTCCCCAGACTAGCGGGTCAAAGTGCTACAAATACCAACCTGTGGCAGTGAAAGGGTAAAGTCATAAAGTCATCATACCAGCCTACACCCGTACATTGGGCGCAAATGCACCTCCCAAATACCTACAACATATATACTCAATAAGCAAATCAAAATAAAAAAATACGAGTAAACAAAACAACAAAACCAATGTTGTATGACAAATTGGCACTACCTCCGAAGACTGACGTTTGAGCCGCCCATTGGTTGTACAGATGGTTCGAAGCTTAGCCTTAAAAAGCAGAAGCACCAATAGGCTAACATCACAGCAATGGGGTTCGTAATCCAATCAGCCATGGAAAACAAGATCTTGTCAACAGACTGTGAAAAATGCTGCCGTTTTTGCAGATGATATGCGGGAAATAAAGCACTTCTACACTGGAAAACCTAATCAACAAAATGATGCATGTATGTGTCGTAGAAGTCGGGGTACCCAAGTTATGGCCTTTTTAATTCGTAAATGCTAAATGATAGCACAAACGATTCCAAACGATGCATCGGATGTTGGGGTTCCAATTTTGAAACAAACGCATATATAGAAAGGGAAGGCCACACTTGGTTAAATTAAATGCGCACTTTTTTTGCTATCAACAAGGCCGGGAAGACCACGTCTGTCCATTGGCTATAGATGAAAACATGCAATTTCGATCGAAAGAACAATCCCCAAGTCGAAACACTTGAAAAACATTTGGTACCCTGCGGCTCACACCTCAAAATTGTGGCAGAAATGATTTCCAACATGAATAACCATCAAATATGTGGGCTGCATGGATGTTGTAGGCTTGTTGACCTATCACCCTTTATCAAAATTCTCTGCTAGACCATCCTAAACCTGCCTGAAAGCTCGGCCGAGCAGCGATGAAGTAAGGCGTCCCCACGTTCCTCAGCACAAATGGTGGAGCTACCCATCTACAGCTGCAGTTCGACTGGGATATTCCCTAAAAATTCCCTAAATGGCCATTGACTATACTAGGTTCTCGGTTCTTGCGCTTATCAGCTATACTCATGCCGTCAAAATCCAAAGATCAGATTTCGATAAGCAAAAAAAGGAAGTCATCCCAAGACTCGCTGTGACGTCACACGTCAGTGACAGGCTTTTGGTCTGCATTGCTGGGGGGTTTCTTTCCGGGTGACCGGGTGATGTAATTTATGTTTTGACATGGTTTGACATACCAGAAACTTGTTCTTGACTTTCATGTTTCCCAACTCCAAGCCAACCGTGCCTGGTGCCAAGGAACCATTCTGAGACCAAACCCTTTTCCTGCAGTTGAGCCACCTCTGCCTGAGGCGAGCAAAGACCATTAGTTGAATAAATATTCAACTGCTGACCGCAAGTGGGGGAACCAACCCATGAAATAATCAACTGGTGATTGTAAGTGAGTGAGCTAACACATGCAACATACCCACTTGAAAGGGGTCAAACAGTTATATTTATCATAAAGTAACCACTTGTCATAACCTCGTGGACCACTTGAGCGGAACAACATATTTATGAGCCCCACATGACATGAAAACCTGGCCTGCCTGGGTTTGAGAACCACCAGGAACAGTGTGGCTGGTGTAATGCTGGTGTAACTAATGGGGGCCAGGAGGTTTTTTGTCAACCACCTGGGCGTTGGTGAAGCCACGGAACCAAGCCATGGGGAGCTGATGGGGAGGAAGTTGGGATCCCAGCGTTGGCGTCCCGGACTGGCCTTAAAGATAGGATCTTTGGCTTTCACGTAGGTTGCGCCCAGACCCACCTGACAAGTTGCACCAAGTCCTACACTTGAAGTAAGGAAACATATGCATGTCAACATTGATTTTCTGTCCAAATAATCGCAGGGATTGCCTCCTTCGGAGACTTCAAGATGTGAACTTTGCCCGGCACGGCATCCTATACTTGTATGTCTGTCACTTGTATTGCCGTACGCATCACTGTTTCCAGTCTTCAATGTTGCTTGCCCCCATGGAAATCCCATGGAAATCCCTCCGTTTTCCAACGGCCAACGGCCTGACCCAGACCCAGCTGTGCGTTGCCCAAGCGCCCTCCCAGCTCTTCGCTGCGCTCGTAGAGCCGGACGTGGTACCCTGGGGTCACGAGTTGGTGACCGCTTCACCGGCTACCCATAGACCCATACAATGTGGGGTCCCCAAGATAGCGTTCAGTTGGTGAACATAATTCGAATTTCACTACGGTTTATGATACTTACTATTTGACTATTATAGTTAATAGTTAATAGGGTTTATAAACCAATTTATAAATAGGGGGCCCCACATTGTAGAAATGGGGAGACTACACTATTTTCCAATGTATTTCTCTAGGGTATCTATGAGGTTATCTATGTTACCACCAATTTTTTGTGACCAAACCTTCAGGTAGTTTAGTTTTTAGCAATATTCAAATGGGAATGGGTTCAAATTAAAGACCTGAAGGGGCGACAACATATTTTAATCCATTTTTTGTATTAACCGTCCAATGATTGGGGTACACAATTTTGACCAGTTTTTTCGGATGAGCACCCAAGTTTTCTTGACCGGTGGTAAACGGTGGTGCTAGCATTATGTAAAGTTCACACCAAATATCTTCGAATAGCATCAAGGTGTTTGGTTGCCTGGTTGGTGAATTCACCTGAAATCACCTAAAACTATTTGAGTCAATAATATTTATGTATAATATAAAGTGAAAAAATCTATGAAGACTATGACTATGAGAGTTTGCTTGCCTAGTAGATTGCCTAGTATCTCACCCGCAAAATGTCCCGTCTCCGCCCCGGAAAGCGCGGCCTCGTTGACACAGCACCCGTGCGGCGGCCACGCCGGCCATGCCGCCACCCACCACGGCCACGGAGCTCATCGATGGACCGATCTGGACTGTGGAGAGAGGGAGAAGAAAGGCACCCAAGAATGGTGATTTCATGGTAGTTTAATGAGAGGTTCATATTGGATTCACTGGGATTTTTTCTGGGATTTCGGAAAAATGTTTGATAGTTGATAGAGTCGATAGAGGGGTTTATGATGATTTAATGGACATTGAATGGGATTTAGCTGACAAATATACGGCTTTACATGATGGGGTTTCATGGGAGTTTCTGGTGATTGAAGCATGAACGATGGTGATTTCATAGGTTTTCATAGGGTTTTTCAGTAGTGGCATTTAATGGGGTGTATATAATGGGATTTTACAGTATGAACCAATTCAATATACCAGGATATATTCATGGTAATATGTGGATACGTCTGAAAATCATCCATGAAGTCGTGCTTGATTCCCGGAGGGTAACCAAGAAAAAGTTGGACTTATATAACATAGAAGAATTACAACCAAGAAAAACTCGGGAGTTAAACATTAAACATGGGAGTTCATTATTGTTTATCGTTTTTCTGGGATGTCATCCATAGTTTCAGTTCTCTTGTGCCAATGCCAAGCCATACATTCCACAAAAAAATGAGACCTATGAGACCTGACAAAACATAAAAACCTGTGTCTTGAGTGTTTTCCTAAATCATCTATTCCACCTCCTATCACTTCTTTAGAGTATCCATGATTCACTTGTTCTGGCATTCTGAGATCTTGAAGACTGTTTGCTTCAAGGTGCCAAGGTGGCCCGGACCTTTCTGGAAAATCCAATGACTCAATGGTAACACTGGCCACTGCTCAATGTCAGGAATGAAAATGGGCCAAAAACATTGGTTTCCTGCATTTCCATGCTGTGGATATCCAGAACCATGAAGTTAATAGTCAAAGTGATTGGGATCTTGATCACCACCCAATTTTGATCAATTTTGAAATTATTTGGACAGACCCACACCTATACAAAGTGCGCTGCCAGTTTTCAGTTGGTTCAGTTTCAAATTCCCAACTATAGAAATATTATAATACGATGAGCCCATCAGTTAAACTACTTATTCAACCAACTTGGCTATCAAGCTGAGGCAAAACCATGCAATCATATAATTCCATAAACTATGCATATCACATACCCGTTATCCATATAAAAATGCTTGGCTTTATACCCCATCAATCACCATTGAATCACCTCTAAACCATCCTTGGGGTTGGTCCTCGTACCCCAGTTTCTGAATGTGGTGTAGTCACCAGTAAATCACCAGTAATTTAGATTGATATCCCATGAAAAACCACCATTTTCCATAGTGAAAAATCTCATGGAAAATCACCAAAAAAGATGCTGGTGAAAGCCCAGCACCCCTGGAACCTCTACGGGTTTATAACTCTAATTTCACTAGGACTTATGGTAGATATATCGAACTAGTTAATGGGATTATAAACCAACTTATAACTTGGGGGGCACCACCTGGTATCATATCTGATCCCTTTGCACACATCTGACCTGCTCCTCGCAGTAACTCTCTGAGTTAGCTTGGCACTTTGCCACAGCGCTGGCGCCCGCAGCTTGACACGCGAGGATGCGATGGCAGAAGGGACCCAAGTTCCCGAAGTCCGAAGGTCCATGTGCCGTTGATGTGATCTATTGGTTTACGACTATGCGATGACTCATTTTTCATATGTTATCATATGTTGATGTGGGATTTACCATGATTTACCCAATGCCATAAACAACTACCTATAACTAGCATTTTTGGAAATGGTAAAGGTTTCTACCACCATAAAGGGGATGGCTTGAATCCAACCCATTTATGGTAATGGGGATAGATTATTGCTGGGTTTACCACGCCATTGTCCATCTGAGCTTGTTTAAACCAGAAAAAAAACGCGATGTTTCAATGTTGGATTGTGTTGTTCTTTAGGCTTAAATAGCTCAAACTGACCCATGAACCAACAAAAGCGGTCGGTTTACAAAACAACACCAATTGATTTTGCATTGCTCGGTTGCTGAGGCTTCGCTACGTTGTTGGGAAAACAACTTTCAAGAGGAAGATCATCTTGCAGTCCTGGTGGGTGTACCCTCTAGTAAACTAACACAACTATGGAAAATCACCATTTTTCATGGGAAAATCCACTATTTCTATGGCCATTTTCCATCGCTTTTTGTATGTTTACCAGAGGGTAACAAAGTGATTTTGCCACTAAAAATCATCCACGGATCCAATCTCATCCAATCAATTGACAAACTGTCAAGCCCGATTGTCTGGGAAAACGCTAAGCCAATCTTTCGTCAACCTCAAGCAATATTGATGTATCTGGAATTGTCATCCCAACAATATACCACCACTTGCGATGATGTCTTACGTCACCCAGCAAGTAGTTTCATACTTTACACAATCCACCATTGTGACTGAAAATGGTTCTGGTTTGCCAACTACACCACACATGTGTTCTTATAAATAGGTCATCTTAAGTGTTCATGCTTCCCAACTAAATAGACTATCTTAAGAGTACAGTTAGGTTCTCTTGTCGCTTCCTAACTATCCTCTGGTAATGACTAACATAGCTATTGAACATCACCATAGAAATAGTGGATTTTTCCGATAAAAAATGGGTGGATCTTTCCATAGTTATGTTAAATAACCAGATGGTATATCCTATAATGTGGGGCCCCCCAGTTATAAGTTGGCTTATAAACCCCATGAATACTATAGTTATAAGTACCATAAACCATAGTTATTGGAGTTATAAACCAACTTAACTATATGAAATCTATCTTCAAAATATGGTCGCTCCTACCAGCAGAATTGCTCAGGTGCGGCCCGGGCAGGGCCCGAGCTGGGCTCCGCTAGGCTCCGCACTCCGCTGGCCACGAAGGGACCTATGAAACTCCTGGCGACCGAACCCGCCGATCCTGGACAACTAATCCTGGAGACCTGGAGATATACCCAGATCGGGGATATATTAAGTAATTATATAGTCAACATATACAGATACATATACAGATACATATACAGATACATATACAGATATATATATATATGTGTATATATATATGCTGCCTTTCCTAGTCTCCTAGTCATTCTATAACGTTTTTATGAACGTAATGGCATTCAGCCACAGTAGCCACAGGACTATCCGACTGGGGCCATGGAGGCCATGGTGAATCCATTTAAGCTGCATGGCCGTATCCCTAGACCCCTGAAATTTACATCATAAAGCTGATATCTACCTCATAAGTCATAAGTTCATACAAATTATATATATATATAACTATATATTATATATACAATGTGGGCCCCCTAGTTATAAATTGGATTAAATTGGTATATGATCCCTATTAACTACAGTTAAAGTTATAAGTACCGTAAACCATAGTGACATTGGAGTTATGTTCGCCAACTTAGCTCCACATTGTGTATATGTACCCGCATAACTGGGGGTCAAACTATATTGGCCATATTCTTTTTGCAGCTTACGGCCAGCATTGCCAGGTCCTCATGGACTCATGGGGCCCCCGCTATAGCCGCTATCCCCAAATCCACCGAAAGTTCAGTAAATTCGTGAACATAACTAGCTCAACTATGTAACTATGCCAACTATGATCTAAATGGTATATATATATATACATATACTTAATGGGGATTATAAAGCAACTTATTGGCGAGGCACCAGCTTTTGTAGATTGAAAACAGACCATGTCCCGCATCCCATGAGATCCCCCAAAACCGCCAGCCAGGAACACCCAGAAGTGCGGCGGTGCCCCCAACGTTGCACGTGTGTTGAAAAAACCTGCATTTTTACGATTACTATCTACCGTAAAGCCGGTGAAAAAAATGAGTGAACTGCTCACCAACTTAGTGATTCACTGTGTTTTTACCCTCTGGTAAACTAACACAACTATAAGGAATCACCATTTTCAATGGGAAAATCCACTATTTCTATGGCCATTTTCGATAGCAAACCGTTAGTTTACAAACATATCCCCCTGGTGGTTTCCACCGTCCATCCCCAGATCGCCCCGTCCGGCACGCCTGAAAAGGAACTCATGGTGCCTCACTGATTTTAGGCATCCAAGGTGTGGATGAAATGTCCATGTCTTATTCTGGTTGGTGGTTTTAACCATCTTGAAAAATATGAAAGTCAATGGGAAGGATTATCCCATATATTATGGAAAATAGAACATGTTTGAAACCACCAACCAGAGCACATTTGCTGAATCGCTCCAACCATCAGAAGTTGCAAGAAAGTCTCTGTGTGGTAGGGGTCAAATCTTGGCTAGGCGGGGGTTTCTGTCTCAGTTGGGCAGGGGTTCGAATCTTACTCAGGTAGGAGCTCAAACCTCGGTTAAGGGTCCAAACTATCAAGTCTTACCCCCCACATTAGTCGCCCCAGCCCCACTAGGTGCCACGGTATCGTCCAGGTCACGGTCGCAGCATGGCGGGACTCATCGTCACATCCTGCAGTGGAATTTCACTTAAGGGAGGAGATGGAACTAATGCAATACCCATATGTTCCATGTATGTTATATTTACCTACATTTGGGTGATTTTTAGGGTAAATGTTGTTAACTATTCCATACATGGAGCATATGGGATATGATTGGAATATGTATGTACACATAATCACATAGCAACCTCCCAATGGCCAAAGAAAAGTGAAATCCCACTAAAAGAGTTCCAGTAAAACAGTCCTGAAATACTTGTTTATCATTTCGGGGATTACTGTATACATACATATACACATATATATGAACTGGGTGGAGACATGGGTTGAAAATAGTACGATTGGAACCTAACTGGGCAAGAATATCTACATATTGTATATACACACAGTATATTGTAGGGTATAAGATAACTGCACTACTGCTGCACTACTGCTGCACTACTGCACTAGCCGGATCCATGTACTGTTTTCCTTGGGATGCAAGAAATGCGCTACCCCGAAGTGCCAAAATGACCCGCAAAAACGTTCAGTTTCACCAAAAAACACCTGAAAGTCAAGTGAATTAAACAATACAAGAAGACCACTCCCCAATCATCCCCATTTTTATAGGTGGTATAAACTAACCATTCCCAGTCACGGATGGTTTTATGACATTGTTTTACCCACAGTAATTCAGTATAGTTATACCCTCTGGTTATGTCAAAGTAGCTATTGAAAATTGCCATTTAAAAATTGCCATTTATAATGGATTTGCCCATTAAAAATGGTGATGTTCCATAGTTATGTTAGTTTACCAGAGGGTATCTACCATAAACATCCATAAACCATAGAATTCAGTCACTGAAATAAGGCACCTGAGCGCCGAACGCTATCTTTGGGGGCCCAATCCTGTGCCTCAGCCGCCGTCTCTGCCACATCATTGTCTTGCGGCACGTTGACCCACCTCAGGTGGAGATGGACAAAAACAAACGCGCTGTGCGGAGCGGTGGATTGATATTTACCCTCTGGTAAGCTAACAGTTGCTATTGAACATAGCCCATTTATAGTTGATTTATCCATAAAAAAAATGTAATTTTCGGTAATTAGCTATGTTAAATTGCCAGAGGTTAAATGGACCAACATGTGACTGAATAAAACAAGTCGGATTCACATGTTTCATTCAAATTCCCATGTGATGAAAAAATGTTTCTACATTCCATGTGATTCAATCAGATTCACATGTTCGATTCAAATTCCAAGATGTTCATGTTTGGTCTTCTTGATATGTTGTGAGCTTCCTGTACTGTTCACGACTTTCTGATGTTTCCGGAACACAAATTCATACTATCTCAATCAAAACATGTATGTTCTAGGTACGTAAAGCAGTAACCACAATTTTATAATGTGCAAATCCTGATCATGCACATTGACATCTATTTATGCATAGATCTCGAGTAGAGCACCTTAGCCATTGCAAGGGGAACCAGCCCTCCCACTTCGGTGAACACCCCTTTTTAGCAGCTGGTTCAGATTCGCTCGGTGGTGATCTCCATGCCGAATCCGAGCATCCCATTCTACAAATCATCAAATGAAATCAGCAGATTTCTTGTCTGTACACGGTGGTGCCCCCCAAGTTATAAGTTGGTTTATAATCCCATTACAGTAACTATAGATATATCTACCATAAGTCCTAGTTATTAGAGTTATAAACCAACTTAGCTATCTTGGGGGCACCACCTTGTATAGAATGCCTATACCCATGACGGATCCTAACGGTGCTGCTAGAAATTTATGGTGTGCCGTGCCATTGATCCCATCAACAAAAACCCCCAGTCATGTTAGCATTAATATACCAGCACCAGCCGGATCCGTCAGGGGATATTGATATAATTACTATATTAATCTATTACTATTATAAACTGGTATATCATGATTATCATTATACTATACCATCTATCTATATTATACTATACCATCTATCTATCATTATACATAGGATCCGTCATGGGATATGAACCATCAGAAATCACCAGATTTCTTGTCACTGTTGCTCCATTTGCTGCTTCAATCCCCGGAGATGACTGCACTGAGACTGCCACTTGTAGTACATGAAGTGAAACCTCAGCCAGCTCCCCGACATGTTGAACGCTGGCTTGTCAAAAGATCAACCTTCCAAAATCAGAGTGAACAACATCAAAAAATAAACTATAACTATAGTAAACATTAGTAAACTATAACGGTGAAATACTATATTTCTGGCTTCAACTCAAGTAAACTATTCGTAAAATGGTGGGTGAAATCTCTGAGTTCTAAGAGTCAGCCGTCATGGGAATTGCTGGGGGCTTTTTTTTGTGCTGGGATCAGTATATGCCGTCTCGGGTGATCGTTTTCACCCAAGTGAAGCCTGAGCTTCAACAAACGCATCCATTTTGTACTTGGTAATGGAATGTAAAGGACTTCATATGCAGTATCGTCACTTCTATTCTCAAAGAGGGGCTTCAAGCAAGTCTAAGCAAGTCTGCGAGGAGACTCTTTGAACACGCACTACACGTCCCCATGTATTTATCCATCTGTCTGTCTATCCATCCATCAATCCATCTACTTCTCTATCCATGCAAATCCATGTAGTATCTATGTATCTCTCTGCACATTGGGTTTGCCTGAAATAGCGTACCCAAAATTCCATTGCTAATCAACATTTTCCCACATATGTGATCCCTTCTAAATGGTATACCATGGTATATCCCATCTTCGGACATACTGATCTCACAATTGTTGGCCAATGTTGGCCATATATTCGATTGTATTCATGCATAAAGTTCTTAGTTTTACACCCTGAATCATCTGTAATCCCGGCCTTTTGTACCATCCTACCCATCCTACCCATCCTACCCATCCACCCAGCCAATCCATCAATCCATCTACTTCTCTATCCATGCAAATATGTGGTTGAAAACGACTCACCATTTCACATGGAAACATCATTTGGAAACGACTCATTTGTGGGTGATTTTCTTTTTATTCTCCAGAAATGCAGCAAAGTGGGGCCCCCAAACGATAGCTAAGTCAGTTTCGAATGTATTTCTCTAGGCTATGGGCTTATCATGGGTTAAACCACCATTAAGCCGCCAGGGCCATACCCCATCATACCACATCATACATCATCTATGGCTATTTCCATGGGGAAATTTATATAAAAATAAGATACCCTCTGGTAAACATTTACATAACTATGGAAAATCACCATGCTTTTAATGGGAAAATCCACTATTTCGACTGGGCCATTTTCAATAGCTATCATAAATCAGCTATAAATCCCCATGGAAATCACCATTTTCCTATGGATAAATCCACTATTTCGACTGGGCCATGGCTTCAATAGCTATTTTGACATAACCAGAGGGTAATCCAACTGGACCGTAGAACTGGTGCCCGAGCAAGGAGGCACTGGTGAGCATCCCATAGTCTTGCCACGACCTCCCGGGACCAGGGACCAGTTGGACAAGCGGAGCTAAGGCACCGTAGAACTAAGGAATTTCATAGGACTTCGGTGGGATTTCAGTGGGATTTCCGGAAATTTTACTGGGATTTCATGGGATTCTAATGATTCTAATGGGATTCTAATTGGCAAAAAAGTTGGCTAAGTTTCTGTGTATAAGGTTGTCCCTTGGCATTATGGAAGATATACCGAACTAGTTCATGGTGAGCCAGCAAAAATAAATTGGGGAACACCACATTGTAGCCTTCAGCAATCCACTTTTTCACTTTTCTTTGGTGATAAGTGCTGAGGCTTTTGCAATCAACTGAAGAACAACATCTTTCGATATGTTTTGATGGATCTTAATGGGCTTTAACCCGGATGATAACCAAACATGGGGATATCTCAGCAAGAAAGAAGGATGGTCATGATGAAGATGTTTATCCGCAAGGAGGTTTCTGATCTTGATTCACCTATGGTTGCTTGCAAATATCTCTATACTATACGTTAGTTGCTCAACCACGAGTTCTAAGGCCGAATCTCCCCCGGGCAATATCTGCAGGATGTTGCTTAGGAATGCAAACTTGTCCTAGTTGGATCTTCATATGGCACGTTTGTCATGCAATCAATTTGGGCGGCCACATTTATGGTCATAAGTGTGACCCGTGATCCATAAACATCACAATCTAACCCTGATTTGGTGCGTTAGGGGATAGACAAATATATCACAGACAAAAGAACATGTAAATTCATCACAAAAAACATCTGAACCTGCTAGACATGCCTATAGAATCTAAGGGCCAAAATCTCAAATGTGTCCCCAATCATGGACTCTTTAAGAATCCTATACTTCCACAGCCGGGCGTCCCCGCATCTCATCTCGCAGGGGCCTTGGAACTGGGCGAAGGCACCCCACAGTGTGGCCACATCCTGGAGTTATGGACCCTCAAATCCCATCTTTGGACCTTTAGGATCCCAACATGGCGCTAGAGACACCTTGAAGTCTACATGGCTTTTGTCTGATAGGGTAGCTCCAAATCCAACGGTCTCCAACCTCATTCTATCCGATTTCCACATTTTCCATTTTTTTTAAAACATAACTTGGGGTATACCCCTGTTTTCGCCCCAAGGTTGATAGGGATTCCCCTAATGCATTATGATAATCATGAACCAACAGGGATTTAGCAGCCACTGCTCAGATTGGTAACTAGAATCACAATGACAATCACCACAAACGCCAGTTGACCCGATGATACTCTCATTAAACCACCCCCAAGATATCTACTGTAAGTTGGTTTATAACTCCAATAACTATGGTCTATGGTACGCAAATAGCTATACTTACTGGTGTTTTTAAACCAAATTATGGGGGGCCCACATTGTATAACGGCTGTTGTTTATAACATCTTATAACTATATATAGTAGTATTCATGGGGTGGAGTTTATAAATCAACTACAAACCTCCATATGTTTTGGTTAAATCCCGCTACACATGGCTTGTTTGGCCCCATTTCAGCACAAAGATCGAAACATCTAGGATCCAGCACGGCATCTGCAGCGCATGGTGCAGCGTCTTGATGCTCCTTGGGAGGCGTCCCGAAAAACGAAGGCAATGGATTTATCCACAAGTTATGGCCATTTTGATGGGGTGTATCCACAATTTATGGCCATCCGAATGGGATTTATCCACAGTTTATGGTCATTTGAAAGAAATTTGACCAATGAACATCCTGGATTTGCTTGTTGGTTCGGTCTGAGACTGTGGGACATGTATATTCCCGGTTCATGGCAATTCTATTCTGGAAAATGATAATGAAGCAATTCTTGGTGGAACTGATTTGCAGCAAACCCACGCACAGTCGATGTTCATGTTGATTTCTATTTCAGCATAATCACAGTTCATGGACAGCATATCATCATATGCCCATGTGTCTCACCTGACATTGTTTTTCTTGCCTCAAACAACCCCTAACAAATAGATGAAGTTGTGCATTGCCGCGATGGTACTAAGACATCAACACACCGAACTTTTGAAGGATAAGGCCATCAAACAAACGGGAACACAAAAACTCAATCGCAAAAAACAAGGATGAATTTAACAACACACTCTTTTGCCAAAACATAACATGACATGGATTGATTCGGTTCGATTCCAAAAAGAACATGAAACAAATTAGTCAAACAAAACATCTATAGAGGATCTATAAGGGTACAATTTCCCCAAGCAAAACAACCGAGGCGTTGGCAAAATATTCGTCCGGTGCGGGGCCGTGGCTTTCCGCATGATGGGCCGTAAACCCATTTGGGAACGATTTCCCTCACCAAGAATCATCTTTTGGGAAATAGAACCATTATGCTGGAAACACAAGTTTGGGTATTGAACGGGTATTGGTCCTATTACTTTTCCCTGTCCGGGTTCTGATTCGAACCCAAATGATCATTCATGATAATCCATGGATAATTCTCATAGGTGGGATACTTTCCCTTACACCCTCCAGTATGTATGGATGATGTACCTATGACAAATGGTGATGGCGATTGTCCTTAGTTATATGTTATTTTAATTTCCTGGAGGGCAACCCCCCTCCTAATCCCGTTAAATCACCATTAAATCCAGTCCCAATCCCATATTAATCCAATTAAATCTCATCTTAGTCCCATCTTTGTCCAATAAAATCCCCATTAACTCCCCATCATATCCTTGGAGGGTTATAGTGGCCCTCTGCGGCATATCGACATAGACAACCGACCGCCAGGTCGAGCGGCTCATAACTGGCAAACTCAGAGACCTCCCGATGAGGTGAGGTGAGGTGATGATTTCATGACGACATGGGAATTTACCCTCTGGTAATTTAACGTAGCTATTGAAAATGACCATTAATAGTGGATTTTCCCAGTAAAAATGGTGATTTTCAATAGCTATGTTAAATTACCAGAGGGTAACAATCAAAAATGGTGGATTTCATGGGATTTAACTGGCAAAAATGGTGACGACTTCAGGGATTTATCTATGATTGCTGTGATTTTTTATGGGATTTGAGCAACGAGACATGGTGACTAGAAATGAGATTTGAATATACTTCAATGATGATTGAATGGATTTTAATGGGATTCACTCCATGAATAATTACTATGCTTACCATGCTTACACCCCCATTCATCAAGCCTTAAACATTAACCTTCAGTGGACTGTGCGTCAACCTCTCGCGAGCTATCGTAAGGCCTTTTTGCCTACCTTGGGACATGAGGAGATTATCATCCGAATCCTACCTGCTCAGTTGGTTCCGTGGTTCATCCACTGGGCTTATGACCAACTTAGCAACCGGAATTCTCACCAAGTTTTTTCGAGGTACCCCTGGCCTTTTGTGAGCTCCAATTTCACTGGGGTCTATGATACATAAGTCGTGGGGCCCCCGTTTACCATAGCTAAGTTGGTGAACATAACTCCAATAACTATGGTTTATGATACGCACATAACTATAGTATTCCTGGGGTTTATAAACCATAGTTACGAACTATAGTTAATGGTACTATATATATATATATCTCCCATATCTAGTTACTATGGTTTATGGTACTTATAGCTATAGTTAATGGGGTTTATTTACCAACTAAAATCACTGGGGGGCCCCTGGGGGCCCCACGACTTGTAGTATATCGAACTAGTATTCATGGGGATTAGAAACCAACACACTTGCTCAACTGGGGATTCGTGCGCCAAGCCTCGTCATTCATTTCACTAAATCACCATATTTGGTGGTTGCATTCCCATGAAATCCACATTTTTGTTGGTCAAGAATACATAAAATCAGATTAAACCCACTTTGTTTGATGGTTATATGACTGGCTGGGGGTTTTAACCATCTTCAAAAAATTAGTCAATGGGAAGGACGACATCCCATATATGAAATGGAAAATAAAAACCATGTTTGACACCACCAACCAGATGAGCTATTAACCATTATCAACCATGATTAACCATCATTACCCCACAAACCATTTATGATCCATTCATGGTTCAAACCACCAACCAGATCCTATGGTTTTCCTATGGTTTTCCTATGGTTTTCCTTTGGTTTTCCTATAGCTTTCCTATAGTTTTCCTATGGTTTTCCTATGGTTTTCCTATGGTTTTCCTATGGTTTTCCTATAGTTTTCCTTTGGTTTTCCTATGGTTTTCCTATGGTTTTCCTATGGTTTTCCTATAGTTTTCCTATGGTTTTCCTATGGTTTTCCTATGGTTTTCCTATGGTTTTCCTATGATTTTCCTATAGTTGTCCTATGGTTTTCCTTGTGGTTTTCCTATGGTTTTCCTATGGTTTTCCTATGGTTTTCCTATAGTGTTCCTATAGTTTTCCTGTGGTTTTCCTATAGTTTTCCAGTGGTTTTCCTATAGTTTTCCTGTGGTTTTCCTATGGTTCCAATCATACTTTGGGGGATAACCATCTGGTAAAAACCCCCCACGCAGCGTACGCCTCATCCATGGCGAGAAGGCCATGTGCCACCGCCGCCATGGAGCCCTGCCCGGCCAATATGGGACATTCGTTGGGATATGTATATATACGATTATTATTGTGACTATATATGTATATATTTATATGTGAATATATATATATGTGATTTTATATGATTATATATAATATATAATATATAATATATATAATATATATAATATATATAATATATATAATATATATAATATATATAATATATAAAATATATAAAATATATAAAATATATAAAATATATTATATATATATATTATATATATAATATATGATTATATAAATATGGTTAAATAAATATATATGTGATTATGAATGATTACACATTGTTGTTTATTAGCAGGTTCTTTTCAATATTATATATATACATGAATATGAACACATGAAGGTGAGGTTTGGGTTGTTGTAAAGCTGGAGATTTCCTCATTGGGGGAGTTGGGTGATGAGTAAATGGATCTGGGGCTGGGGGGCTCTCCAACCTCTAGGCTAAACCGCAAGCCACGCAAGAAGCTACATGACCAATCAACCAAACAATCAACCTATCTACCTACCTAAGTATCTATCTATCTAGATATCTATCTCTCAGTCTACCTACCTATCTATCTACCTATCCATCTATCTAATTATCGAATCTCAGCTGGCGATTCCATATTCATCAATTGTTTGATCATTCCAGTTCACAACATGTAAAGATCCAAATCAATGGGAGTAAAAACCCAAAGGCCACCTTTCCTCGGAAGCTCCAACTATAAGCACCCGCCATTTATCCAGAATTGCCTAGAACCCAAATGACCCTTACATTGAAAGTTGGGGACCCTTAAATTGCTGCTTATCAGAAACCGCGGAATACCAGGTGAGTTCCAGGTGACCTTCCGGTCGGATTTTCTGCCTCCGGACACTCCAAGATGCTCTGTGCTGACTGGTCCAGCACCTACACACATCGTGTGGGCGAACACCAAGGGACCAACTCCGGACACCCGAAATGAGAAGATCTGGGTCTTTCTTCAGAGGAGGGAGATATGACGCCGGGCATTGATTCCGTTGAAAAGCTCACTTTTGATCATGGCACATATATACCATTTGTTGATGATGATTCGGCGCTGATGACATTCCAAAGTTTATCAAAATGGTGGTGGTTGAGCTTCCTTCCATGAACGTCTTCGGCTTGCAAAGTCAACATATATTATATTTGCAAACACTGACCAAACATGGTCTCCTTGGTCTCCTTACAAATTACTTCTACTGAAGTACACACATTGTGTTTTTTTTAAATAAGTATACACGTTGGATGACAATCAGGATCAGACCAAACCAATCAATAGTGGGTCTTGAAATCATCAGCACAAAATATCTTGATCCTGACAATTTCCAGACATGCTAATGGGCACATATCAACATGTTTGGAGCCCACTGATTAGATACATCGCCCAGTGGCCCAGTGAGATAAGTTCCACAATGGAAAGTGACACCAGAGTTGCCCTGGAACACGTAACACATCTTGCGCATTGAACCCGTTTTATCAGTCTCAAATCATCTTAATTTCCAGGTGTGAAACCATTATTGCCTGTAGATTGAAGACATACATATGTAAGTAGAACTTGAAAATCATATGCTATCATATATAATATATATATATGGATGACATCTATCATTCACCAGCCTGGAATAAGAGTTGGAATAAAGGTTGTCACTTGTTACCCTCACTGATTATCAGGGTCCGTGAATCAGCTCCGATGATTTCTTTGTCGCAGCAAGTCCCCAGGCGATCTCCATGTCTATCTGGAACACGTGGAGACGCAAAACAACACCGCCGTTATGTGAACTGTAGAATGGGTACGGTAGACAGGGCATACATGCTCGTCTCATGAACCTGACAGGGCGCATATTCAGAACCATCGAATTTCATGATATCATACCTAAAATTAAGTCAGTTTGAAATCTCATCCATCATTTGAAATCTAAGCCACCACCTAAACTGGTGCTGCGCCTGCTGCGCGAAGGGGAGCCACGCCGCACTCCAGGCAGACCACGGCAGCTCGGGAGTGCCAACCCTGGGGGATCAAACCTGGTAGCCTGTTTCAAATGCATGGGAAAACCATAGGAAAACCAGCGAACAGATGGGAAAATGGATGAACATGGAAAATTTTGAAGCTAGGAATGGTATTTGACCAGCCAACATGGTGATTTCATGGGAATTCAGCAACTCACATGGTGATTTAATGGGATTTGAGGGAATCTACTTAGCTAAGGTGGTGCGCCCAGTTTTGATCAACCGGGATTCACCAACAAAAACACCTGGATTTTTCATGGGATTTTGCCATCAAGAAAGGGATTGACATAGTAATTTCATGTCATTTCGGTACCTAAGGTGGTTCATGGTGCTTATGACTTACATAACTATGGATATATCGAACTAGCTTGTGGGATATAAAACTCAACTCATATCTTGGGGATGGTTCATCCCCTGGTTCATCACCTTGAAAGGATACGATGGATGGTTTCTTCCCATTCGAATCCCATTATGGTCCCAGTGTTATCTAAAGGTACCTAAGAGTTCCCAACTGGTGCGCGGATTGAGTAACATGATTTGACACAGGTTCATAGTAGACATATCTCTACAAAGATTTAAGTTACACAAGCTTATAAACAACCACACATAAACTGAGGGATCCTCTTTCTAGCGGCCTGGGGATTCAAAGCACTAAAATGTATTAAAATGTCATGTGCCATCCCAGAACTTCAGTCACAAACTCAGCATCCCAGCAATTTGGGGTGGAGTTTTCTGGAGGCACCAAACAGTACTACAATTGGACTCTGGCACAAGTCTATAAGATTCTACTCTTGGATAAACTTTGGGTCACTTTAAGGAGACTGTCTCTATTGTAGGGTTTCCAACCTCTGCAAAAACCGAGTGCTTGGAGATGACATGGCTATAACTATAGGGGGTGATATTCCACCCTATGGGGTGACATGTCTATGGTTATATCATGCATAATTAATCCCAATGACCAAAGTTTCAACCCAATTTTGCCGGTTTTCTGAATTTCTATACGGCAAATACAACAATTACTCTAAGTGCACCCCGATTCCTGTGTTTGATGCCGCCTTTTCTTCGCCTGAAGCAGGGTCAGGCAGAGCTTTGCACACCAGTCGGCTCGTCGGTCCGGGAAACTTTGCCCTGCGGTGCAACCTGACGGTGAAAGGGATTTGTCCTGCACAAGCCCCTCAAAATTGTAACGCATTGCAAGAGACACCACTCAGCGCCATGCCGTTATTATTGTCATTTTATGTTATAACACCATTCGGATTCATCTTTAACTTCAAAATGTTTTGAGCCTTGTGAAGAATATGGTGCCCCCAACAAGGATTCTCTTGTTGGAGACTGTACATTGGGAATCTCCCTGGTGTTTGGGTGAAATTTTTCCCTTCTGACTTCAATTGATGCTTGGTAGCTTGGCAGTATCCATTTCAATTTCGTTGGAGAAAACATGTGGATTATCTCAAATCCATCCCAGTCCAGGTCTGAGTGATTTTTGTGATATGTATAGCGCCTATTCGAATGGATGGTTCCCCAACATCAACTATCAGGTGTTGTCGGGGATCTGTAAACTATCCAGAGCTCGTACTTGGAAGGAGATGTCCGTTTTTTGGGGAATACTTCGTAGGCCTGTTGAAACCATGGTTGATGTACCGAGTTTATATATCATACCCCTGTACCAGTATGGGACTTGCCCGGTTCTACATCAGAATTATCCAACATTACGTGTGGGCCGATGAAGCATTTAGTAGCTGGGATGTACGTGGAGATAGAACAAGGTGGTGCCCCCAAGATAGCTAAGTTGGTTTATAACTCCAATAACTATGGTTTATGGTACGTAAATAACTATAGTATGCATGGGGTTTATAAACCAACAAACATAACTGTGGTGCCCCACCTTGAAGCCACCAACAGCTGCGGTATGGCACCGAGTGTACGAAAATGGTCGTCGCGACAAACAGGCCGCGAGCCGCCAGAGACTCAACAGTTTCATGGCCAACAAAAAGGCCATGCTCCAAGTGATATGTCCAAAAATAGATGGTTAATACGAAGACTGTACGCTTTAAGATAGAAGACTTTACAGACTTAGCCTAGATATAAAGAAGTTACATAATTTATGTTGGAAGTTAACATGACTGATCAAAACTATGAAAAGAAGTTATGTTAACTTGGATAACTTAGTTGTAAGTTTTTGGATAACTTTTTATAACTTTTTGTAACTTTTTGTAACTTTTTATAACTTTTTGTAACTTTTTGTAACTTTTTATAAATTTTTATAACTTTTTATAACTTTTAAAGGCTTTGCAGTGTTGGTTTCAAAGTTGTTGCGGATCACACTTAATAATAACGTAATACGGTCAACATACATGATATCATGTTTTCTATTTTTCAAGGAACTTTCACATTTGATGTTAAATTTTATCAGTGTTTTGTTTTTCAGGAATTATCACATTTGATGCGATATTTTTTTCAGATTTTCTCCCTTCCACGAACTGGCGCATTTGCCAGGATTTTTTTTCAGATTATGACTTTTTCAGGAATTATCATACTTGATGTGGGTTCTGTTTAGAAGTGTTCCTTTTCAGTAGGGAAATTCACATTTGATGTGAATTCTTGACAGATTTAAACGTTATTTTTTTTTGGCAAATGGTTTCGTTTTGGGATTCTTATTCTTCAAACCAATTTTTCCGTTAATTTATTATGTTTCAAACTTTCTCCGTCGGGAACTGTTTTCATCAAACAGTTCCTGTATAGTTCCTGTAATAGTTCCTGTATAGTTCCTGTATAGTTCCTGTATAGTTCCTGTATAGTTCCTGTATAGTTCCTGTATAGTTCCTGTATAGTTCCTGTATAGTTCCTGTATAGTTCCTGTATAGTTCCTGCATAGTTCCTGCATAGTTCCTGTATAGTTCCTGTATAGTTCCTGTATAGTTCCTGTATAGTTCCTGTATAGTTCCTGTATAGTTCCTAGTATAGTTCCTAGTTCCTGCATAGTTCCTGTATAGTTCCTGTATAGTTCCTGTATAGTTCCTGCATAGTTCCTGCATAGTTCCTGTATAGTTCCTGCATAGTTCCTAGTATAGTTCCTGTATAGTTCCTGAAGCTCAAGCAAAGGCGAGGCAGCAGCGGCAAGTGCCAACATAAAGGAATCCGTTGACATTTTCGAGCGCCAATGGACACCGCGAGCTATCGTTTTGAGCAAATCAGCTATATCACATGCCACGCTGTGTCCATATCAAAACACAGAGCGCAAGACCCCTTGCAAGAACTGTCTTCAGAGACATATCCTTTTCAGGAAGTATCTTTGCAGAACATATCCTTTGCAGGAACTACCTTTACAGATCAAATTCTTCACACACAAGAACTTTCTTTTCACACTTCAGTCGTTTAAAAAACTTCTTCTTGGGAACCATAACCTTTCCGGGAAAGCATCTTTGCAACTATCTTTTTCAGGAAAACATTCCTCAAGGTATCTAAACATACTGCACAAATTCCATCTTGTAACTTTTTATAACTTTTTCTAACTTTTTATAACTTTTTCTAACTTTTTATAACTGTTTCTAACTTTTTAAAACTTTCTGTAACTTATGATAACTTTTGCTAAGAAGTTATGTTAAATCTCTTAACATAGTTATGAAAAGTTATCTTTAGATAAGATACTTCCGATAAGTTCGTTAAGAACTTATATCCTACCTAAACATTTACAACTTCACCTAGCCGGTTACCTGAAGTTATAACTTACTTGTAAAAAGTTATGAAACTTTACATACTTGCAAGCAGGTTATAAAGACGTTATAGAGGGTTTAGAAGCACGTTATAATTCAAATAAGTTTGTAAACCCACATAACTTTAAGCGTACAGTCTTCGTAGATGGTTAATGAGTCCTTAAGTTAGTGGCTTCTGGATGCTTTTGGTAGTTGCAGCAATGGTATAAACTCTGACGAGGAATCTCTATTGTTGGGAGCCCCACCGCGATTCGCTGAAGCTCCATGACAGTTATCCCTCCAGACATCCCTGCCCCCTACTAACACCCATGGCGAGAATGTGACCCCGAAGAAACAACACATGGTGTGGTTGTTCATCTGAGGAAGAGCCGGGTTCAACTTATGAAAGTGTCAGCATCTTTCAGGCCTCGCAAACCCGCATCCAGCAGCCACTCATTTAGAAACTGTACAAATCTGAATATGGAATTCACCTCAGATGCTCTCAGGTTGAAAATCTTGGAGAAGCACACACTTTCCTATCCCTGGACTTCCAAACACCTCCTGAGAAGGTTTTTTCACGTGCAAAACCATCCAACATCTACCTAAATCACCTTCTGAGGAAGTGTGTGTGTGTAGGGCATATGTTTTTCTCCATCAAACATGCGAGGGAAAACAAGCACATCTGCTACCAAGCGACAGGTCAACAAAGCACATCTTGAAACTAATTCTGGTTGGTGGTTGAGCCTACCCCTCTGAAAAATGATGGAGTTCGTCAGTTGGGATGATGACATTCCCAATATGGCGGGAAAATATAAGTGTTCCAAACCACCAACCAGAATTCTATTGTTAATGGGGATCAACAAACGACTCCACATTGGGTATCGGTGTCTTGGATCAGGTTGGATTCCAACCCCTGCCAGCCCCAACAAGACAGCTTCGTTAAAGAAACACGTCCACACCAAGTGGTCAAACAAAATCATTACACCAGCAGATGGGATTAACACCACGACATGTTCCTCATTTCATGGTTGAAATTCATGTCTGCGCCAACTGCCACGGAGTTCTCCAAAACGTCACCAGCAAAAGTTAACAACAGCTCCTATCAGGTGCTGGGTTTCCCCCACAAATCTTAGCAGTTCTATAGCCACCATGTCCTGGGAAAACATGTTGGTTTCGCTGCCAGAGTGACCCCAATTGAAGAATACCGTCTTCTTGCAATGCATCCACGATGAGAAGCTCACGCCCTGGAAGATGAAGACCTAGGTCGACACGACACGACAAGGGCGACAAGGGCTGGGTGGTCACGTTGGACGATCATGTACTCCTGTTGTCTCATCCTTTTGGGCAAAGGAAACATGGATAAATAGTTCATATCAGTATTACATATATATATATATATATAATGGTGTGCAATATAAATATATATATATAAATGTATTATAGTAGAATTAAAGTAGTATAGGCACCAGTGTTCCGTGTTTCCCCGTGTTCTCCATGCTTTGGGAAGTGACAGGGTCTCTGTTGACATCATGACTTCCCACTGTAGGTCCTGCGAGTTCATTCCATGTGGCAAATGCCAAAGCCAAAAACCAGAGAGAGCGAAAGAGAAAGAAAGTGAGAGAGAGAGAGAGAGAAAGGAAGTTATTGCATGAGGATTCCAAGCATGATGTTTTTTGGCACTAATTGTGTCCCAATTTATTGCCAAACTTAGATACCCTCCATTTCACTTTAGTTGATGTGATTTTTTGTGGCAAACAAACATACAACATAATTAGTATACCAATTTTACCAGATATCACTGACCATATTGTTTTTCTGGTAACATGGGTATACTGATGGGTATATGCGTATGTATATATATATACGTATATATTATAGTGGTCATGTTTCATTGATTTCATCGTTTTCAAAGTGGATGGCGCAAATCAAATCTAAAAATAGCAGCGGTAGATGGCACAGCCTGTCGCAAGAATTGCTATTTGAGTAGATGGGACGACCCATCAATGTCAGCGCGGTATTTCGCATAGTGCGATCGCCTTCTTTTTCTGGATTTTTGTCCATGATTTTCCAGACTGTTCCACAAATACCGCGAAGCTGTCACCCTCAAATTCAATGCAGCCATGTTCCAAGCCCTGGGGCACTGCACCATGTCTGGGGCAATGCTTTATGGGCATAATCCTTTACATCCTGACATAGAACTTACATCATATGGCGGGTTGATTAAATCAGATTAAATCCTCCCATTTTGGACAGCCGCAGCTGAACAATGCCAGTTTTTACGATGTATGTTGAATGTTAGTGCTTAAATCCCACTGAAATTGCCTACTTCAGTATGCCCAGCATCCCTGATGATGAATTTGTTAATCTGCAATTCATGGTGAATACCCCATCTCAAACCCACATTGTATATATCGATTTTGGTTTTGTCCAAAAATATAATATACCCCAAACATCTATTAAAACGCCCACGGTTTCTTAAGTATCATTCTTTATCATTTATCATCATTTCCACCCCATTAAAATCATGAACAGCCAGCCCAGCCAGACTTCAACAAATGCCTGGAATTTCCCCCACAATTGGGTGTGGCTGCTAACTAACTCCAGCCACCCTTGATGATCATTTCCACTCAAAATCGTAGAAACACATGGCCAGTTAAATGTAGGCGACCAAGCCATGGCTGCAAACTAACTCCAGCCAGCAATCTGCCCAGCCACACTCACCAAATCGTTCTCCAAATCCATTTCCGTCCGGATGCATTGGTTCCAGTCGCTCAGCCTGGGCGATGCCGATGGGATTATCCTTGTAAAAAGCCTCCAAAATAGTGGCTTGATGCTGCAAAATCTACCTTACAAATCGTGCGCCAATGTCATTGGGGATCAGTATGCTACTAGTCTTACCATTGAACTGTAGCAATTCTGCAGGTTGCCTGTCTTAGCGTATCCAACCATCAAATTCCGAAGTCTTAGGATTTCCTATAATCTTTGGGTCCCGCATCATTTGTCGCCAGTCCACCGCCTCCCAGCCTACTGAAAACTTGGAAATCCTGTGCGGATTTCCACCACGCAGATCTGTTTCCCGAAAGACACACGCCACTTCATACGAAACTATGGAAATAATAGTTCCAGTCATTACAGATATTTGAGCTGGTCTTGAACGGCAGAACCGTCACCACCAAACTCTGGATTGCCCCAGGCAACAACCAATCCATCGGCCAAGATGGCAGCAAATGCCTCATTTGTGGCCTGAATTTGCTGAACATCGCTCAGCTGATCGTGTACCGCGGAGCAGTCACCACCCAACTCTGGATTGCCCCAGGCAACAACGGATCCATCGAGTAAGATGGCAGCAAATGCCTCACTCGTGGCCTGAATTTGCTGCACATTCCTGAGCTGATCGTGAACCGCGGAGCAGTCACCGCCCAACTCTGGATTGCCCCAGGCAACAACCGACCCATCGGCCAAGATCGCGGCAAATGCGAAATGTGTGGCCTGAATTTGCTGCACATTCCTCAGCTGATCTTGAACTGCGGAGCAGTCGCCACCGAAGTCTCCATAGCCCCAGGCAACCACTGATGCATCGGCCAAGATCGCAGCAAATGCCTCATTTGTGGCCTGAATTTGCTGAACATCTCTCAGCTGATCGTGAACCGCGGAGCAGTCACCACCAAACTCTGGATTGCCCCAGGCAACGACCGATCCATCGGCCAAGATCGCATCAAATGGTTCATTTGTGGCCTGAATTTGCTGAAAATCTCTCAGCTGATCGTGTAGCGCGGAGCAGTGACCACCATACTCTGGATGCCCCCAGGCAACAACCGATCCATTTGCCAAGATGGCAGCAAATGCCTCATCCGCGGCCTGAATTTGCTGCACGTTCCTGAGCTGATGTTGAACGGCAGAGCAGTCACCACCCAACTCTGGATGGCCCCAAGCAACAACCGATCCATCGGCCAAGATCGCAGCAAATGCTTCATTTGTGGCTTGAATTTTCTGAACATCTCTCAGCTGATCTTGAACTGCGGAGCAGTCACCGCCCACACCCAATGTAGCATTGGATTACGGATGACGGGGATACTTGTGCTCATTATGTGCTCATTATATGCTCCTTAGATCACTTATATCTCATTATTATGTAATATTCATTAACATTCTATTTAATGAGCTTGTAGTATGCTTCAAAGGCTTTAAAGACCGTGTTACTTTGCGATCAACTCTTTTGTCAGGGTCAACCCAAACCCGCCCAAATCCGCAGCTGACAGGAAACTAGAAATGCTGCCCCAAATCCAGTATTGATCTGAATTCCGAATAGACTGACTTGAATATCTTGAACGGAATTATTCAAATTATTTTTTTTAAACTTTTAGATTTGGTTCACCCAAACCATTTTTATCCCGATGCGTTTCCTATCTCAGGTTTGCCCTGTTGCCCTGGTGGCAACGGCGTCAACTGGGTGGTGCTCTGAGCAACGTTAAGTCCTGGTGGCGTTTCCGGTTGTGATGGCTGTTGATGGCTGTTGGCTGTTAGGTTGGGCAGCCGTGCAGCTATGCCAAAGTGCAGATGTACAGAAAGATCCAGAAACTTCGTGACTCATTGATAAACGAGGAATGTCAACTGTCATCGCAGTGGGGAGTGCAAACCACTTCCGGAACCCATTCCCATGGATCAGTCTTATTTTCCGGAAACAGATGGTTTGTAAATGTTTGTTGTGTTTTTTGTGCCTGTTTGTGCCGGTGCTCTTCACAGGCGACCTTCCAAGAGTTGCAACAAGAGAAAAGAGCTGGGTTGTGCCTTTTGTGAAATGCTGAAGAAATGGGATTTGAAATAGCTTGGAAACTAGATTTGAATTTTGAATGGATTTGAATGGATTCGAATTGTTCAAGCGACCGTTGAGCAGCAGTCAACAACTGTCCATGACCTGAGTGATATCTCGCCGGCAAGAGCAAGACAAAGCTAGAATCTAGCCTTGTCTTGCTCTGGCCGGCGAGAATCGCAGAGCAACTACCACCTGAATGCGGATTGCCCCAAGTAACTACGCTGTTGCCTCCACAGCACCACAGTGCAAAAGCTTTGTTTGCCGCAATTAATTTTCCATCTTGAGCCACAGCGGTTAGGTGCTCTCCATCTTGAATCCCTGCAGCTTGCAAAGAGTCCGCTGGGTTAGTGAGAACATGTCCCTTCGCAGGGACGAATTTTAGAAAGCCTCGTCCAAAAGATCTGTTGGCTAGAAGTTTCAAATCTTTCACTTTGGAGAGTTCATCAAGTTCCAAAGTTTTACCTGAGCCACTGGGGAACGATATGCTTATTCGAAGCATTCGAAGGAATGCGAAGCGAAGCCGAAAGCCCTTTCAAGACATGTCAAAATGTGCCTATAGTCCATGATCTCGAGCCATATAGGTGCCACATGGTGCCACAGTCTCAAACAAATTGGCTTCGGTTTCGCCAGTTTCTTAACATCACCTTTTTAGACTTTTAGACCATCCAAAAGTGCTCTGGCTGTGTCACCAAGATGCTGATGTTTTGAAAAGCACTTGGTGACGTAGTGCGCCAACGCAGCAATCTCGGTGTCCTCGAAGTTGTGAATATGCCTGGGTGGAAAGCCAGCTTCACTGGATGGGAGGCCAGGGTTTCCTAAAACGAAAATGAAAGACGCACGGCCAAAAAACGGGTCAAGGCCAAAGGACCTACATATGAGAAGTGCCAAACATCACGTTCAAATACCTTCAGCATCATTGAATTCCAGTAAAGGTACAAGAACAACATGGGAAATCCAACATCAATGTGGATCATTTAAGAACGGAATATCCCAGGGTTCCCAGAGCTATTAGTTTACTGGAGAATAGATGAACTCACCTAGTTAAAAAAACAAATCAACCATAGTTGCTGCTTCTAGTGGGGCTAGAACCTCCTCTTTCAACGACCCAGATCCGTCAGCAGGACAGGTGGTATATCTGCATTTTTTTGGTGTACCATGGTGTCATAGTATTTTGGTGTTTGGGTATGGGGCAGTCCCTATCAACCAGTGACTTGGATGAATTCCGCCCCAGATGGCACTTTGAGACCACGCAAACTTTGAGACACAACTGGATGAATTCTGATATGATTCACAAAATTTACAAGAAGAGGCCCGCAGTAGTAAGTTGGTTTAAAAATCCATTACAGTAACTGTAGTATAGTTGAATCATGTTAAATCCAGCAAAAACACTTGTGAAACAAGTTATTGATTTGGGACGAATCGCAAAACCTCAACTCCACAAAACTTCCCGAAAAAATAATCGCACTTCACTGAGAATGGTTCAGTTGGGAAGTGGAATGACCAACATCATGAATAATCAACAATCACCAATCTGAAATCAAATGATATTGGTATAATATTGATACAATTTTAGTAGTGAAACAATCTTTTTTCAGATTGGTAATCGTTTGTTTTATTTGGAATGATTCCCCAAACATAATCTTCGCATGCTTATCACTGCTGTGATCACTCATTCGTCCTTGCTACCATCTTCTTCTTCATCAACATCCATATGGGTATGTAGAAAAGGCACAGGAGCTTACAGAGTTCAACTACTTAGTCTTCACGATTCACTTTGAGAGGGGCTATCGAAATCTTGACTCATTCGTTATCATTCATTTTGACTCATACAATGTGGGCCCCCTAGTTATAAATTGGTTCATAAACCCCATGAACTATAGTTATGTGCGTATCATAAACCAAAGTGAAAGTGGAGTTATGTTCACCAACTGAACGCTATCCTTTTTTCGGGGGCCCCACTTTGTATCCATGTGAAAAATCGGCCCAGATATTCTGGTTGGTGGTTTCAACCCACCCCTCTGAAAAATGATGGAGTTCGTCAATGGGTTTCGGATGACATCCCACATATGAAATGGAAAATAAAAGCCATGTTGCAGTCACCACCAACCAGTAAATTGGTCCAAAAAAAACCCAGGAATAGTATAGTTATTTAAGCGTACCATAAAGCATATGAAATATAGTTCACCAACCAGATATTTCTCTCCAAGGCCGGCACCCCAGGTCTGTCTGTCTCAGCTACTGTGCTGAGGGGGTCCCCTCTGGTCTGTCGTAAATCTCCTGTGGTAGGGATCCGATCCTGTCGTAATTTCAGGATCCTAAAATGGAGGTATGTTAGTACCATATTTCTGGCCATATGAATTGTGGTGATATTCCCTGAAATTTAGGCCTTTGTATATGGGCCTTATATATGGTAGGTACCTCCAATAAATCGGTTCCTGAGTCATGGCCATTGAAAATATGGGAACTAGCCCGAAACCTCCTTGATATTTCTCCATAAAAGAGGGAATACTGATGATATCATGTTATACATCACTATTGTTTGAAGAAAAGTAACAGACTCCAGAGTCTTCCAATACTTTTCAGGCTAGCCACCATGGTCAATAGGGTCGATGGTCATTGTTGAAAAAGAAAGCATCTGAGGCGTTCTTTTTTTGGGGGGGAGGTTCATTAGCACAATTTCAGGCCCAAAGGGATGTCTCTTGAAAAGGCACATGGCTAATTTTTACCAATTCCCTACAAAACAAGCTGGGTAATACTAATCCCCTCATGTTTCAATGATATCTAATGCATGATGATTGTTCACAATTTAGACCAATGCATGAATTATCGTTCATATCATGGTTTATTCTAATCCCCTCATGTTTTTGTATTTTTGTTTGTGAAAGTATCGCCATGTTTGTTGACGAACCCAAATGCGGAATCAGTCAAGTTGTTGACTCTGCACAACGGATTGATTCTAGATCCCAGAAATGACTGACCAATCTGACCAATCATCAGTAAAGAGTCCTGGGAAATTCCTAACAGGGCTACTTCTAAAAGTTGCTATTCTCTTAAAATAATTCAAAAAAAACACAAAGGCAAACCACTTTAAGATTTCTAATCCAAACATGCCCAAAAACACAAAAAAACGTAAACACAATCAAACAAATCACAAAAACAAATCCATCAAAAAAACTCAAAAACAACAATACATTCTAAAAAACAATTGGGAAAAAAACTATAAAAAATAAAATAAAACATAATGAGCAATAATTATTGGAATAAATAAAATGGACTTATTTGGCATTAAACAACCATAAACAGGGATGTTCCAGGAGTGTCCCTATAAGGAATGTCACCCTCCATAGACAAGAAATCAAGTGTGGGCCTGAAACTTACCATATTTTTGACCCATATCCACTTCCCAAGATCGAAGAACTCATTTCAAGGTGCATCCCCAATCTTTGCTTTACACATGCTTCTTTAGACTGTAGCAGGACATAGTACAACCATACCTGTTACCCCGATATTACAGAACAAACAAATACAACAACAAGTCACAAGTAATTACAATTGAATTCCCCATGGTACCCTCCCATTTTCCAACCCATCCCAAGCGTCCTCTGCCTTATGATACGTTGCCCGGAGCTTTGCCTGGCCCTCCAAGCCGGTGGCATTGCGCTCTTGGCTGACCTTGGCCCCCTGCAGTTCCGCGGCCGCGACGCAAAGGGCGACCGAAAGGACGACACCGAGGCTGGACGCCATTCGAATCCAGCTGGGACAGGGCCGATTTTTGGGGGTTTGAAAATTGAAAATCAGCTGCGAGTCGGCTGCGATATGGTGCCATGCAGGGGCTGCGGATGCAGCTGGGCTATCGCAAAGTCGGAAGTTTGACCATAGGCACCCAAGCGGTGCACCAATCTCTTCCCAAGGGTCAAGGCTTGGATGGCGCCAAAAAAAAGGTCCATTGCTACTGTGTTTTTTTTAGCGATACCCATTTGCCAGATGGGTGTAACCAAAGAATTTCATCATGATGTGTTTTTTTGGTCGCATTTTAGCATATACACAAAAGTAAGCACATATATATATATATATCATTCCATACAGACATATACACACATCTACAATCATCTACATTAATATACTCATGGCCAATCTTAGATACCCTGCAAAAAAAACTTAGCTGCTTTGTAGATAATCCCATTGATACCAAGTCAGACTAGTGAGGATTAGTTTCTTCGAATCAAAGATTGACCTAGTACTGGAGGCCACGGTCTCCATGCCTGGTGGCGCCTTGCTGGGTGATAGAGAAGGCTGCCTTTGAAGAGAGAGAGAAATGTGTGGTTAAAGACAAATAACAAACTGGTTATATATGTAGTAATTATATATATAATTACATATATATGTGTATATATATGAATATGAATAGTATATATATATATATGAATATGAATATGCGTGTGCCCATGTTGTGCTCATATCACTAACTACACGGTACTACCATGGTGATAAAACATGACCATTTTCATAATCTTCTGAGGTTAGCCACAGGTTACATGCCGCAACAAAAACGTCACGCCCCAATGAGACATGGTAGGATCGTGCAGGATCAGCTGTGATTTACGAAACCGGCCCTTTAGGGCTGGTCAATTAATTAGCTTTAGAGTTGAAGAGACCTCAATTTCATAAACATGGAGATTCTCTGCGCAACACAGCGGGCTTGTCTGAAAATAGGCTACCCCCAAAGATCCAACTCTCATGATGTTCCCCTAAGTTTGGGGGGTCAGTTTGCCCCTCCTTGGTTGGACCATCTGCAGAAAACATGGGGGGCAGAACCAACATAATACCATGGTGGAATGAAAGCAACAAACATGAAGGGAGATAACAACAATGCCTACAGTAGATTGTTCCAAACAAATGAAGATAGCACCAGCTGCAGTATGTAATGAGATCTACTCAAATACTTTTGATACTTTTGATGGGGAAGCAACTGTCCATAGAGCTGAAACACTTGTTCGCAGCGGTCATGCGACAAAAACGAACTGCAGATTGCAGCCGGACTTTGTGAATGTGCATGTATTAGGATTCGCAGGGCTTTTTTTGGGCTTGGAACGGGTGCCATTCTTTGGAGTGAAATCCATTGAGTTTTCATGGCATCAATGCGTAAAGTTCCTTCTTGGGCCAAGCCCAACTTCCCCCAGATTTGCCTGCCAAATCTCTTGGTCACAGGCAGCCTTCACGGCGCAGTGTCGGAGAGCAGGAAGTGTGGAAATCAGAAGTCAGAAGGTGAAAAAAAACATAGATAGGATGGGAAGACTGTTCCTTGTTGGAATGAACTGGGGATTTTTTTGTTAGATTTGTATAGATTTGTCATGTTGAGGAACACATTCTAGAACCCAACAAAAACCTGGTTACAGTACATGATACTGCGGCATATGCACAGCGCGGGTCAAGCCTCAAAGCATGGGTTTGCTGCTGTAAAATAGACCACGCCACTGGCTGACTTTTCCTGGTGCTTTATTGAGTCTCCGATTCTTTCGATCAGTTCATAAAGGATGTCTATTTAAAAAAACTAATGCAACAAATACATGCTGGTCTTGATTCGTTCAGCAGCAGGGGCCAGTCAATCCAAAAAAAACGAATCTGGTTATGCCTCACGTAGGGATCCGGTCCGTGCCTGTAGCGAGTTCGGCAAGAGCCACAGGCCGGCCTCAATGGTTGGCCAACATGGGTTCTGGTACCCAAAATGATTTGGATTTGGCATCTTGGCTAAGTTGCTTTGATGCAAATAGCTTAAGTGTTTGGTGAAGAAATGTCCGCTGACCGGTAGAAACACAACTGGGGTACCAGGTTGGATACGGCCGGAGGGACTCGCAAATCTTCCAAATTTGGATTTGTTTTAAGAGGAGACCACAGGTTTTTGGGGTGCCTCATGGTACCTCATTGAAATGCTTTAAACAGCAAACACCAGCACATTATTCATGTCCATGAGAAATCCCTGACCAAAGTGGAAACTGAACGATCAACTGAGGTTTCCGGCAATGCAGCCACCTTGCACAACAGCGCGTGAAATACAAAAAAAGAACTTGCTGGTGGCAGGGAATAGGGGAATGGGATGAATTGTAGATCCTTCCCCCCTTCCCTACTAAGCACAGGTAAGAAAAGTACACACTCAAACACGCACGCACGATGGACAATGGCCATTCCATCTCAACTTACTCGAACATGCCTTTTGCGTTACCCCCTGGTAAACTAACATGGCTATGGAAAATGGACCATTTATAGTGGATGTACCTATCAAACATGGTGTTGTCCATTGCTATGTTGGTTTACCCGAGCGTATTATCCAAAACATCCAAGGCTGAAATAAAGCGACAACTTCGAACAACCGGTTCCAAATCATCCCAGGATCAAAGACGTTCAGTAGAAACTTACAATGTGGTGCCGCCAATTGTTATATATAAATTGGTTTATAAAACCCTATTAAATATGGTACGAAGTATTATAATATAAACCAACTTAGCTATCTAGAGGGCCAGATGATGCCGTCACTTGAGGAGGTTATACACCACCAGTACGGGATGGTAGGTGCGAAAGAGGTCCAGGATGAATACCCCTTCTAGAGGTAGCCCAGATGAACGACAGCAATTGGGAGACTCGCAAGCCATGCCTGACCAAACACTTTCGCCGACACTTCGTGAATGACTTCAGGGATACACTACGCCATGTTTATCCATCAACGCTACTGGAAACCAACTTTTGAAACAAACTACCATGTGCAGAGCTTTAACCAATAATGCGGGAAACCCAGCAACAAACTCCAATAGAGGACTGTTGAAAACCCACTGGAAAATCATTTAGTGTAAAATGATGCGTTCAGAGGAATTCTATTAGATTGTGAATTATAACAATTCTGCTATTGGGTAGCCCCTTATAAGCATCAACCAAGCAGAATTTCCTCCTGTGTCATATGACACAATTGGGTATGCTGTTTGTCCACATTACAAGCGGGATCGCAACCAAATAGCACCAACATTCCCAGGTTGGATATTGTTTATTTTCTCGGCATAGTAACAATATGCTTCTTTGCCAAAAAGGCGGAGACATTCAGAAATGCGGCATTCTGCTTGAAGATTGTTATACAAGACCCTTCAACACCAAAGACCCGACAAAAAACACTTCGTGTGTTTTAGTATTTTGATGTATTTTGGATATGTTCATTTGAGGGTCCCATTTTGCGGGGTTTAATTCTTGAACAATGCTGTGGCCCTGGCTCGTTTTACAGTGTAGCCCCAAATTGTGACAGAACATTGAACATTGCTGAAAAGAACCTACAAGGTGGTGCCCCCCAAGTTATAAGTTGGTTTATAATCCCATTAACCACAGATACCCTCTGGTAATTTAACATAGCTATTGAAAATAGCCATTGATAGTGAATTGTCCCATGAAAAATGATGATTTTCCATAGTTATGTTAATTTACCAGAGGGTATATCTACCATAAAACAACCAAAGATCAAAGCTGGGAAAATGGTGGGGTCCACCTCCCTTTCTGCTATCGGCAAACTTTTTGGGGATGAGATTCGTCGACCTTCACCCGACGCCTCTCCAGGCCCCATGTGGCATTGCGCTCTAAGAAATCAGTTTGGTTCTGAAGTTCTGAAAGATCTGGGGTATTTCTCATCTTTCTGATGTTTAGTTGATCTATTCTGAATTTCTTGATGAATCTTATCAATCTAGTCATGTTATGACCTTTGTTCTGGGTGAATTTTCAGATGGCTATTGCTACACCATCCGAGGTGCTCGCTGTCGACGTTGCTGGAAATAACTGTAAGTACATGCAACTAGGTAAAAACTAGTAATTATTGTAGGTAAATGGTGATAAATGTAGATACATGTCAACTTAATGCGAAACTCAACCAAGAACTAGATGGTGGGCAGTGGGACTTCACAACCTGAACACATGGGTTTACATAGCGACCTGGAAAATCAACATTTGGAATAGGTAAATCAACTGTGAATGAGCCATGTTCAAGAGCTATGTTAAATTACCAGACGGTACTTGATATCCAATACCATCCAATACCCTAACGATGGCGTTTGAGCTGTATCTGCAGCTTTCCGGAGAGGTGATATTGAGAAACAATAGTTTGAATGGCCTGGTTAAAGGCCACGACAGTGATAGGGCGTGGTCGCTTGGGAGTGAGACAAGCACTCCACAAAAACACATCAAACCACGATGAACATGACAATAACCCGCAATATAATGTAGCAACATATGATATTCCTCCATCTAGAGCAAACAAGAAAAGCCCGTTGCCCCTTTAACCCCCTACAATTTCCCACAGTTTACCCATGAAATTCGCCTCATCCAAACCTCTTTTTGATCAGCGCAGCAGCACGTCTTGGACGATCGTGGCACCACAGTTGGAAAATCTGGCGGCGCCACGCTGCAGCGTGGAAGCGCAAAATCATGTTGAGCTATTGACCATCTTGTGGCTACGACAAAGTGGGGCCCCCAGTCGATAGCGTTCAGTTGCGATATAACTCGCTGAATTCTATAATTTATGGTAGATATAACATGATATAACGGACTAGTTCATGGGGCTTATAAACCAACTTATAACTAGGGGGCACCACTTTGTATGATAAAGTGGGGCCACAGTTTCTGAACAGTTGGTAAACATAGCTTGAATCTCACTGGGGTAAAATGGTGGATAGACTAGAGTTAGATGGTTTTATGGTGGATATGCGGGTTTCCTCGAATTTCTTCATGGGGATACCAATGGTTTAAGAACCCCCGATATAGTAGCTGCAGGTTCTCTTGGATGCCCTGCAAATAAGGAATATGTTTCCGGATAAAAAATATTGTCTCATTTCAGGGCCAAATAACTGATTAATGTATAATTTTGGGTAACAAAACCACCTCAGGGACAGCCATGAAAACTGGTGCTTCTCCCAGTCTGCTAGACTTTTTCGAGGCTCTTTGACCTCGAAAATTCGCAAACGCAGGAGGTGACGAGCCAGGGACGTCGAGGTTTGGATCCCTAGACGTTTTAGATCATGACAACCTTGGAATTGTCCTTTTAGGGCATTCAAAAATCCTCTGGTTGGCGGTTTCAACCCCTCTGAAAAATATTAGTCAATGGGAAGGATTAGCCCATATATTATGGAAAATGAAAAATGTTTGAAACCACCAACCAGATCCTAGATCACAATTTGCGGGCTGTAAAATGTTGTTAACATCAAACAAAGGCAGTGTTGGATTGGGCCCCTCCTTTTAGCGATGTTAAGACATGATCGCAGTACATCCAGGGTTTCTGCAAGGTGGTCCAGGTCGATAGCTAAGTTGCCTTGGTGCCCCCTAGCTATGTTTGTTGGTTTATAATGCCCCATGAAGACTATAGTTATATCAGCTTATATCTGCCATAAACCATAGTTCAACCAGCCAGTTAGATACTTAAGTATATGAATGCGTAAATCAACATTCACTAACCCGAACTGTTAGAAAACTAAGGCTATATTGGGATAATCCCTCAGACTTGTAGGAGGACCAAAATGGTCAACCTGACGTCGCCGCTGGCCGCGGCTTACATCAAAAGATTCAGCGTATCAATGAGTTCGTGTGGTTCAGTCTGTCAGTGGCTAGTGAGTCTTTTGAGATCGTCCAGATTGTTTTCCGCTCATTTTTTCCTGAGCCTGAACAAATGGTCAGTGATGAGGGTCAAATCTCATGAAATGGGTATTGGTCGAAATGTTGTACAACACTTGGATGATGAACGTAACATATTGACCAAATTTGTGGCCATCTCTCCTTTACCAGCTTATATATACATATACTATTATATAGGACATTATAGAACCACTTTCCAACTCACATGACAAACTTCTTGCAGAGATGCCAACGTTTCCCTGGGCGTTTGGGGTGTTGTTTCATTCGGGTGGGGGTACTTTGTATCAATGCTTGACACGAACGGGAGGTACACCAGGTATAGATCAAAATTGGCTACCCAAAACATGGATAGTTTCAAATTCAGCAGTGGAAACCAGTGGAAAATGTTTTTGAACCACGCCCTAGTACATAAAGACCCAAATTCATTTCAAGCTTCAGATCTGCCCCTGTTCTTGGTATGCACTTTCAGGCGCTGCATCGCACGAACCAGCTGACACAACCCGCAAGCGGTTCACAGGTCCTCAGAAGCTGCGTGTGCTCAATGAGCACCCTGGCTTGTGATGGATGCTCTACTGGTTCTCCCAGGAAAACCTACAAGATAAGATGCAATATTTTCATATTAATGGGGATGTTTGATGGGGATATTTGATGGACAATAATCCCCAACAACAATGTTTTGGGGATATACCCTCTGGTAAACTAACATAGATATTGAAAATGGCCCATAGACATAGTTGATTTACCCACTATAGCGACACACTGAAACTTAGAATGCGATTTTGGAAACGGCGCGCTGCAAAAAAAACGCCGGAAAATGCCAAAAAGTGGGGTCCTGCATTTTTTTGCCCCGTTTTTTCAGTCGAGGCATCTTAGCAATGGAGATCTTAGAATGCGTGCCCACCGAATTGTTTATCATATAATTGTCCTTCTATCATGGTTTTGAGTGGGAATTGTCAGGTCGCCGCGTTCTAGTAATGTAGACTTAGAATGCCGGCATCTATCTTGTGATTTTCACCAACAACGGATGTTATTTTTCAAGTTTTATCTGCATTTTGGACACATTTTGCATTTTTTTGGGATGTTGATCTTAGTCAGGTTTCATCGATCTATTGAAATATGACCACATCTATGTTTGATCAGAAGATTTTACTTCCATCATGGTTTGGCATGTTTTGATTGGGTATTTTCAGGGGGATGCGTTCTAGTAATGTAGACTTAGAATGCCGGCATTGATTTTGTGATCTTGAGATATCTTGAGGAATAATGGATGCATTTTTTGGGTTTTTACCAGCACGTGGGGCACATTTTGGAAACATAGTGGGTCCTTTCGCTGTATCTTTTCAATGTATGTTTCCAATGCTTTTGTATCTCAGATACATGTTTATAGGTATTTTTGGAGTGTTTTGCACTCCTGTTTTTTTTCAAGCTCCTGGCTGCATTTTGGATTCAATCTGTTTTATACTTCAAGAAATCGCGTGTATAGTAGTCAAACTTTGGGAGCAAATAGTCACGAAAGAGCGGCATTTCCTGGGCCCAGCTCCCAAAGTTTTGATTTTCAGAGTTGTCGAAAAGATATGCTGTACATAAGTAGGAAAATGTGGAGTTCCCGGAACCAGTTCCCAATGTACCAAATTCTTTACGGATAGGATTTCCAGGGTCCAACTCCCAAGTTTCACTATGTGTATAGCATGTTTGAAAGAACTTTTGAAAGGGAAAAAATAAGAAAATACATCCATAAACCAGCAAGTAAAGCTGCTTTACATAGACATATTCTTTGAAAACGCGGGAAGACACGCATAGACGAACCGCATTTTTCTGGCAATCCATCTTGAATATCACCGCATATTTTGCCACTTTCATCGCGTAATGAGTGAGAAGACGCGCAGAACGATTCAGAATGTTGCCAAAACATGCCACAAGTGGTCCACATTTTCACTACAGAAGCTTTGACTGAGTTTGGGAAAACGTTGTTTTTTTCTTCAATTTGCAGTGGTTCATGCACTTTGGGATGGATGCAAAGATTTGCAGACATGGCTTTGCCAAGGTTAGTTGCCTGCAAATTGCATGTGCAGTGAATCAAAGAAAATGACCTCATTGGGGATTCTAAGCTCTAGCCGGCGATAGCAAAACATCCGCCCTGGCGCAGGTTTCTGCACCCCGCTCAAAAAACAGAAAAACTAACCTTTTTCCCCACCTGCCAGGTGAGGGTTGTTAGATTTTATCAGAGTTGTTCTCCTCCTCCTCGGCTAGCTGTCCTCCTCCTCCTCCTCTAGTTTCTCCTCGACCATGTCTGCATCAACTTCCACCTCCACTTCTGCCTTGCCAACTCTTCGCCAAGCTCTTTGCCAACTCTCTTCGCCAAGCTCTTTGCCAACTTCCCAGCTCAGTGTGCACCGCTGGACCTCACCCTGGGACCTTCCCAGCTCAGTGTGCACCGCTGGACCTCAACCTGGGACCTTCCCAGCTCAGTGTGCACCGCTGGACCTCAACCCGGGACCTGCCCAGCTCAGTGTGCACCGCTGGACTCAACCTGGGACCTGCCCAGCTCAGTGTGACCGCTGCCCAGCTCAGTGTGCACCGCTGGACTTCAACCTGGGACCTGCCCAGCTCAGTGTGCACCGCTGGATGCCGCAACGGCCAGATAGAATGCCAGAAGATATGCCAGATAGAATGTCAGATAGAATGCCAGAAGATATGCCAGATAGAATGCCAGAAGATTTCCCAGATAGACTGCCAGAAGATATGCCAGATAGAATGCCAGAAGATATGTCAGATAGAATGCCAGAAGATATGCCAGATAGAATGCCAGAAGATTTCCCAGATAGACTGCCAGAAGATATGCCAGAAGATATGCCAGATAGAATGCCAGAAGATATGTCAGATAGAATGCCAGAAGATATGTCAGATAGAATGCCAGAAGATATGCCAGATAGAATGCCAGAAGATTTCCCAGATAGACTGCCAGAAGATATGCCAGAAGATATGCCAGATAGAATGTCAGATAGAATGCCAGAAGATATGCCAGAAGATATGTCAGATAGAATGCCAGAAGATTTGCCAGTAAGAAAATGTATAAATGTCACGGTGGGGATCACACGAAGTAAAGCAATTTAATGAACATATGCAATTACTGTTGCAAATTCCACACTTTTACACCGAATTAGATCTCATAGGACAGACTTGCGTTTGTCTTCAAATGTCTGTTCCCCGGATTGTTGCAAAGCCTGTGAAAACAAGCATTTCCGTGAGGCCACGGGTAGCAACCTAGAATGCTGCAAACCATTTTATTTGGAATGGACAACTGCCTTATGCATAGTTTTTTCGAGGGAGCATTGGGCCCAGCTCCCGAAATTTTGATATGCAGAGGTTTCGAAAAGATGTATATATACTTACTGGACATTAAGTAGGAAAATGCGGGGTTTCCAAGAACCAGCTCCCAATGTACCAAGTTCTTTACGGAAGCGTGAAAAGGGAAAAATAGGATTTCCAGGGTCCAATTCCCAAAGTTTCACTGTGTATACAATATGATTGAAAGAAAAATTGAAAGGCAAAAGGAATGAAAAAAACAGAAACCAGCAGCTGAAGCTGCTTTATTCGCATTTTGCGAACACACAGGAAAACACGCATGGACAAACTGCATTCTAAGTCGTGGCAATCCGTGTCCGTTCTACAGTAAACCCAAAGCAGCAATGCCTACAAGAAGTTGCAAAGTTTGACACAAGAAATACCCAAAATGTGGGGAACAGAATCAAGAAAAACACCACATCGAAGAAAATGGAAAATACGCGTTAATATTCAAAAATTGTATTACTGGAACACATCACGTAAAACATTCAATCAAAACAAGGCTGCGGGTGAGTTGGTTTGCTAAGACCTGTATTGTTCTGACATTTTCTATACTCTTGTAGCCGTTTACTGGAAAATGTGCAAAAGCACTTACATATTGGCCTTTACAGGGACAGTTGGGCGCAATCCATCACAAGGAATCTGCATTCATAAAACAAAGCGTGGCAATGGGTGAGAAGACGCGCAAAGCAATTTAGAATGTTGCAAAAAATGCCACAATTGGTCCCAATTCACTAGTGAGCTTTGAATGTTTGGGAATTGGACCGTGGAGAATCTGGTACATTGGGATCTGGTTCCTGGATTCCGCACTTTCCTCCTCTGTACAATATTGTCTCCGGAAAAAAAAGTACTAATGCCAACGACCCTCTTGGGGGAAGGGGTAAATGGTACAAATTCGAAGGGGCCTTTATTTTAATGTTTCAATTTTGATTCTTGAAAACTTGGAGAGAAATCTGAACGCCGCTGTTTTAGAACCTTTCCCAGTGATTCTTGAAGGCTCTTGGCAAATGCAAGAACATTTCTGATATTGGCAAAATATATGAGTGTATGACAGCTTACGCCGCCTGAAATTTGGACCCCCAACCCAGTCATGTATCGGAAGAGCATTCTAACATCGCAAGCAGGCAAAAAACACAGCTGACCAGTAACCAATTGCACAAAGCAATACATATCACATATATATATATATTATAATATATATATATATTATAATATATATATATATTATAATATATATATATTTTTAAGTTGTGTGAGCACGTGAACCTATTGTTTGTGAAGTGCAAAACTGGGATCTACAGGTAGTACAGGTAGCTAGATTTTGGAGAGAGAGAGAGAGAGAGATAGAGCCGAGGGAATCACATAGAGTGATATAGAGTCAGATAGAGTCAGATGGAGATACTGTAGATAAATAGATGCTTGCATATGGAAAGATAGATAGATACGTGGAGGATAGATGCAAAGAGGGATAGACGGATAGACAAAAAGTGGATAACCGGAAAAATATGAGTCCACAAAGATGTCATGAACACTCCAAGTCGAACATTTTGGGATAAGTTGATGAAGTTTTTTCGTTGCTCTGGTGATAAGTTGAACATATTTGGCTTGTTGTGCGACAATGTAGGGGAACGGGTGTAACAATGCATCAAACCATGGTTTCATGTGTATTTATATAAGTACATTTGCACAAACATATGTCTATTCAGTATTTATTCACACATATTATATATATATACATATTTACATTTGTGTTGTCAACATTATTTTTCCTGGAAGTTCCAGGGGCTGCCTCCATGGGATCGTATAGTCAAAGATTTTGAAAAGTACGATTGCGGGGCATTTGTCCGCTGTAAAACTGCTGGGAACCATATGTTGTTGGCCCTTGAAGCAACCCAAGTCCTAGAAGATGAGCACGATAGAGTCGTTTTTCAATGTCCAGTTGAAGTGTCATCAATTGGTTCTGCCTTTTTTCCCCTTGCTCGTTTTTCCCATGGGCATGCTGTGGCATCTAAAACCAAACCATCCTTCAATCAGTGCCATGCGACTGTGCATGAGCAAATTGTCCTGGAGATGTGTCGTGAATTGGGGGATTTTACATGACATGGCATTTCCTCCGCAAATCAAATCAAAGCATCGAATCTTGGATGCAGGAATCCAGATCCTACACACCAACCTTGAATTGGGCCCATCAGCTTCACACCATTCCCAAGGGTTTCTGTCAGATAATTCAGATAATCATACTGAAGCTCTTTTCTGACCTCGCAAGAAGATACATACTGTACAGAGGATTGATGGGCTTCGTGTACACTTTTTCCTCCCCATGTGGCAACCCATGGCGCGGACTTGCGGAAGACCATGGCACGAATCTACTTTTCAAAACATGGTTCATGAACAATTTGCTCCTGTCGATAAGTCGCAACAGCTTTTCAAAAATTCTTGAGACTTTCTTGGAACAAATTCGTTGATGTCATTCTTGCAAAAAGGTCGACAGTTTTGCTGGAAACATTGCTCATCTTTTAGCCCTCAGGTTCGTCAACGTAAGTTCTTCAACTGCCTTGTAAATTCCCCCCCAAACAGTTCATTCCTTATAACCCTTTTGCTCATGAGGCCAATGTGGCCAACGTCTTGACCATGTGACAAAAGTATACGTATATTTTTTTTTTCGATTTGTATTGAGTTGCTAATTTTTCCGGAAGTTCGTCAATGTTCCCCCGCCCCCCCAAACAAACGCGCATTTTTTTGCATATGGCAAAGTTTGTCGATGGACCCCAAAGTCCGCCGATCAACCCCAAATTCATCGATGTAAGCCCCAAAGGCAATTTTTGCAAAGTTCGTCAATGGGCCCCGAGATTCCGTCAAGGAACCCCCAAACTCGTCAATGAGCCTCTAAATTCGAAAAAAGGGAAGTTCGTAAACGAAGCATGCAAGTTCGTAAACGAAACGCCCGGTTCGTAAATGAAACCTAAAGTTCGTAAACGAAACACGCAAGTTCGTAAATGAAACCGAAAGTTCGTAAACGAAACACGCAAGTTCGTAAATGAACCCTAAAGTTCGTAAACGAAACGCAAAGTTCGTAAATGTTCGTAAATGAGTTCGTAAATGTTCGTAAATATTGGTCAAAAACAGGGGAAAAGTTCGTAAACGGTTTACGAACTTTCTGTCCGTTTACGAACATTTAC